CAGTGGGGCAGCGCGGAGTGGGTGTGCTGATCCGGGAAGCTCGCGGGTCCCACGGAAAAGCTGGAGGTGAGATATTTGCTCACTCCGAACCCGAGCTCCGGAGGGGAGGCTCGAGGGGTGGGAGAAAGGAGACCGTCCTCCCAGCGCTCGTGAGCCACTGGCGAAACGCACCGAATCTGCAAGCTAGAAAGCATAGCGTCCCAGACTGGCAGATTTCGGGCTGTCACATCTGGGGAAGTGAAAAATGCCCTTTCATAATGTTTTCATGGCAGTAAAAAGTGCCGTTGGAAATGGGGCCCCGCCCTCCAGCGGGGAAAGAGCAAGTTCCCTCTTCTCCAGATGGCCTGTCCCAGGGGCGCTTCGCGGTCCGTTGCCGGACTTAGCGGCGTTCTGGGCAGGGGGGCTGCCTGCTTCCGAGGTGCCCGACGCGCTCGCTTCGCCGGAGGCGAGTGCGGGGGCGGAGCAGCTCTCGTAGGCGGGCGCCTTCGGCGAGGAGCAGGTATGAATGGCACGGCGGGTGGAGCGGGCTACGGACCGCCGATAAGACATCACCCACCAACTGCTCTCTCACCGCCTTGAATTCCTGGGTGAATTCACAGACAGTGTCGCCGAACCTGGCTGGGGATATGGGGAAGTCAAGAAAGCGGACTTTGTCGACTTTGCGCATATCAGCCAGGGGTGGCGCTCCTGGACCACTAATGTGGACATCGTCCTCCCCAACGCACACGCAGCGGACTCAGTAGTCCGAAGAGCTAAGTCGGCGGCGGTGCGAAGCTCGTAAGCCTGGGTTGGACCCACCCTCGTGCAGCTCGGCCAGCGCCTGCGCTTGGTAGCGCTGGTAGGTGGCTATCGCATGCAAGGCGGAAGCAGCCTGGCCCGCAGCTATGTAAGCTCTAGCTCCGAGGGAGGTAGATAACTTACAGGCTTTGGATGGGAGACGAGGCGGACCCCGCCAAGAAGAGGCGCCGCGCGGATTTACCGCCATCGCGCACTCAACCTGAGGAATCGCCACATACCCCCTGGCTGTTTCACCGTCAAGAGTGGTTAGGGTGGAGGGACACGCAGCACGAGCAGAAAAAAGTGCTTTACAAGACCGCGTGAGCCTACTGTGCACCTCCGGGAAGAAGGGAACGCCCCTCTAGTCGGTCCGGCCGCGGAGCTGGGGGATAAACCATCTCCAACCCACGGCCGAAGCAGCCCGGGAAAGCACGGCTAACATGTCCGTTTCAGGATCCGTAGTGACAGCGCTCACCAGCCCGAAGGGGGCGAGCGGGTCTGGATCATCATCGGACAATGAAAGCCCACCCTCCGATGCCGCGGTGGACATCTGGTCTCCGGTGTCATCGGGCGTAAGGGCTACCATCTGTTAGATGGATCGCTTCCCCCGCCCGAAGCTTGGATGGAGCGCTTAGAGGAGCAGGAGGTCCGCGGGCCCGTGGGCGACGGATTATCTCTCGCTGAAACCCTCAGATCTGCCCGAGTGCCCGCTGCAGAGCAGGGGACAACTGGGGTGGTTCGCCCTTTTGCAAAGGCTAACCGCGATCTTGCGCAACAGTCATGGCATCGCAATGACGACATGAACTGCCCGCGAGCAGCGCATTAACATGCTGGACCCCCAGACATGTAACGCAGTGCCCGCGCCCATCATCCGAGGACAGGAAACCACCGCATCCAGAAACGCACAGTCGGAGCGCCGTCCTGAAAAGGACGTGCTGCACGACTGTGTTGCTCTTTCTGTGAAGTTTGCAACTTTATACGCACCGCTCTGGAGGACCGGACCCAAAGAACGCCAGGCAAGGGAGAAACCCAGCTCGACTGTCTGCCGCTGCGTGTACACACTCTGGACCGGGAGAATGCTCTCGTTCGCTCAGAACCGCTGGTCACAGCAGGAGGAACCCTCATCGACTCGATCAGAAAGTCTCTGAAGCGAAAAATGATAGCGTCTGCTGGCGCCAGGTGAGCTTATATACTCAGTTGATTGCTTATGCCGCTCACCTGCGCAGGCTTGCGCTGCCAATTCATTCTTAATTGGCCCGTTCAATACTCCTTCAGACGAGTAGCTTCTGAACCGAACCTCCCATACGTGGATTTTAACAATCAAATCCACTTATAGTGCTGGAGTTCCCCCCGAAGGGGTACTTGTCTTCTTCCTGTTTGTTTTTCCTTGTTTCCCTACCTTTCCCAACTATGTTCTGTATGGTGTAATATTGACGTCCTGTACTCCCATTATTCCATATATGTTGCCATTTTCCTAATATTTTGGTTTTAACTATACTTTTGATTTCTGACTTGCTGTATTTGATGTCCATGTCTATCATAGTTTGCTGTGCTGCTTGTTTAGCCAACTTGTCTGCCATCTCATTTCCACTAACCCCTATGTGCGCTGGTACCCACAATAATGAAATGATAACTCCTGATTTAATGATATTATTTCCCAACTGTACTATTTCATATATTATGTCCTGCCGTGATTCTGATACTACATTTTTTATACTCATGAGTGCTGAACTTGAATCAGACGCAATGACTGCTTTAATTGGTTTATTGTCCTCTACCCACTTTAGACCCAACCATATCGCTACCAATTCTGCTGTATAAACTGCTAAATTATTATTAATTCTTTTTGTAACTTCAATTTTTAACTTTGGAATACTGAATGACACTCCTACCCTTTGTCCAATTCTTGATGCATCTGTGTATATTTCAGTTGTTTCATTGTATTTTTCCCTTATATAATTTTCCACTTGTTTACTGTCAATCTCATTTTCTTGTTTTTCTTTCATTAATTCAAAATCAACTTCCAAATCATCAAGCAGCCATGTGGGAGCTACTGGAAATACTATAGTGGGCAAAATTTTTAGTGTATCTTTTTCCATATCATTTATTTTTTATTGTATTGTCCATCCATAACCTTTAATGCCCCGTTTCTCTCGTTCTTGGCATTGCATCAGAACTGTCTGTGATATGTGATTGTCATTATGGCCTTTCACATGTGTGTTCCATGTGAGTCTCCTATCAAACCACAATCCTAGATATTTAAAAGATTCAACATTCTCCAAATCTTTACCTCCCAATTTCAATTTTAAATCCTCTCTTATTTTCTTTTTGGTAAATAACATGGCTTTAGTTTTTTCTTGAGATATTCTAAATCCCCACTTTTCACGTCTCTCTATCCGCGCTTTACATGTGTGCGCGAATGACGTATCTGTCTGCTTAAAGAGGCTGCGCAAAAGTTTAAACTTAAATTCATTAACAGACAGTTTGAGATTCTCTCATTCATTCATTCATTCATTCATTTTCTTTTCGGCTTAGTCCCTTAATTAATCCAGGGTCGCCACAGCGGAATGAACCGCCAAATTATCCAGCACATGTTTTAAGCAGCGGATTCCCTTCCAGCTGCAACCCATCTCTGGGAACAGTTTGTGATACCTGTTGTAATTTAGTTATTTTTCGGTCTGACAATATTTAATTGGAGGAACATTTTTTTATTCCTTATCTACAATATAAAATACATACAAATACATTTAGATACTTTTATCCTTACTATTTTAATGTGAAGAGCCATTCAACCAGCATAACAAAAAAGTTTCTGAAGACAATCACCTACTGCACCTGTAATGAAGCACGTTATTTTAGAAGTAAGTTATAACGTATACATTTAAAGTAACCCTTTAAAGAATATAATAAACACACACAGACAAACCCCTTTGAAAACCCTCTGCTAAAGTGGCATATAATGTATTTCCAAGAACACAAGCTTCAAGTAGGCCTAGTCATAAAAATGACAAAAATGTGCTATTTGTTCATTCATTCATTCACTTAGTCCCTTTATTAATTCGGGGTCGCCACAGCGGAATGAACCGCCAACTTATCCAGCAAGTTTTTATGCAGCGGATGCCCTTCCAGCCGCAACCCATCTCTGGGAAACATCCACACACACTCATTCACACTCATACACTACAGACAATTTAGTCTACCCAATTCACCTGTACTGCATGTCTTTGGACAGTGGGGGAAACCGGAGCACCCGGAGGAAACCCACGCAAACGCAAGGTTGATTCTTTGTTAGGCTAATATATTTTGTTTTCTACCATTAGTGACTGCAATTAGTTAACACATGAAATTTACTATATTAATTTATATTGTATGTATGTATCAATATTACATTTATATATTATTAATATTTTCTGCTTAATTTCTTATTTATTTATATTTTTAACAAATAAAGCTGTTGTACTGCACACAATAGTTTAACTGTTTTATACTTTTTGGACCAGAAAATCATACACTGTAACAATTAGACCTTTCAGGATAGTTCAGATGTGATGCAGTTTCAAATATAGCTTTAAATATATCATTTAAAAAGTTTTTCTTTAAATTGTATTTTCTCAGAATCTGAAATGAAGCAAATTTCGACATGCCCTATCTCAATCAATATTAAAAGTGAATCCTGTGGGACATCGAACAAAATAGCTTAATAAACGAGTACACCCAAAGTTTAAAAAAATAAATATTAAATACAAATAAAAAAAGAGAGAAAAAACCAAGAGAAGCAAAAAACTTTTTTTTAAAAACTTAGTTGAAATTGTGTTGGTTGTATTTTATTTATTTATTTATTTATTTTGCAATATTTTGCTTGAATTTAATTGTATTCTTTCAATTTCCTAATATGTTTGGTGGTTTTAATTTAACAATTAACATTTTGATTTTCATTAACTAAAGTTAACAAAGGTGAATATAATGAAGTTGTTTGTCTGAGTTAATGCATCACAACAACCTGACTGGAAAGTGTTGCTAAATGCTGTATAAAAGTTTTCATATTGACACATTTTTTACAGTCAATTTATGATTGTGCTGTTTTGAAACTTTTTACACTTGAGACACATTCTCCTACTGTATTTTACATTTGACTGGGGTGAAATATTAACCACACCCTTGTTTTCCCAGCAAATATTTACAACACACACAACAGTAGTGTAACTGACAGCCTATAATAAAGATGACACTCAACTCACATTTAGAATTACAGCTATAACAGGAGAAATGAATGCTCATCTTTTATTCACAGTGAAGATGCTGTGCATTGCCAGACTGTGTATTGCAGTTTGTGGGGTTGATTTAGGGACCTGTATCCTTCAAGGTGACGCTCAGCCACCTGCACTTTCTGAGGATGGAGACTTTATTGTTGGAGGGGCTTTTACTATTCATTACTATGTGAGGACAGAAAAGTACACCTATACTAGGAGGCCACAACCATTAGAGTGCAGTGGCAGGTTAGAGTTTCAATAATAATAATAATAATAATAATAATAATAATAAACAATGCTTTAAATTCAAACAAGCCTTAATAGACAGCTGATATATGTGTACTTCAACAGCATGGACTTCAGAGAGCTGCGCTTTGCTCGTGCTTTGCAGTTCGCCATCCAAGAGATCAACAACAGCTCAGATCTTCTACCGGGCATCTTTTTAGGGTACCACATATATGACTCCTGTGGCTCTGTGCCAATGGCAATCAAGGTAGCGTTACAGCTTGCTAACGGACTAGATCCTAAATATAACGACACCGACTCCTGTGCAAAATCTGCCGCAGTTCTCGCACTAGTTGGAGATTCTGCTTCCACCCCGGCTATAAGCATTTCAAGAATATTCGGTCCTTTTGAAATTCCACAGGTGCTTGCTGAGTATATAAAAAGTATATAACAAAACCAAAAAGAACACTAACAACTGATGATAATTACATATGACCTGTCATGTTTTTACATATAGGTGAGTCATTACGCAACATGCGCGTGTCTCAGTGACAAGCGACAGCACCCTACTTTCTTCAGGACCATCCCCAGTGATCACCATCAAGCCGCCGCACTGGCGCGGATGGTCAAGCGCTTCGGGTGGACGTGGATAGGGGCTGTGCGCAGTGATTCAGACTACGGGAACAATGGCATGGCATCATTCCTGAAAGCTGCGGAGAAAGAGGGAATTTGTGTGGAATATTCTGAAGCCTACTACAGGACCTACCCGCTCAGTAAACTGAAAAGGGTTGCGGATGTCATTCGCAGATCAACGGCTCGTGTTATCGTTGCTTTTGTGGCCGCAGGTGATATGAGATTTCTCCTAGAAGAACTGAGCAAAGAGCCACTCCCTCCAATGCAGTGGATTGGGAGTGAAGCTTGGGTTTCAGACCCACAGATGCTGCGGTTTAATTTAAGTATAGGAACGATGGGCGTTGCGGTCCCGCGATCTCTTATCCCGGGTTTTCGTAAATTTCTACTTGACCTGTCCCCATACAAGGTGTTAAAATTTCCCTTGCTGACAGAATTCTGGGAAAGCTCATTTAGTTGTAGTCTACAACAGCAGACAGATCCTTCCACTGGCATGCCCGCATGTGATGGCACAGAGGACCTTGGCAGGTTAAAGAACCCGTACACAGACACGTCCCAGTTGCGCGTCTCTAACATGGTGTACAAAGCAACATACGCTATAGCTCATGCACTCCATGGCATTGTCTGCAACGAAACACAGTGCAGCAAAAACATTAAAGTTAAGCCCCGACAGGTATGCTATAACAAGAATAATCAAACCCAAATACAACTCACAAATATAGCCTACGTGTTTGTGTGTGTGAGTGTATTTTTTTCTTTTTCTTCTGGAGAGGGGCTGTTTTAAATTGGCTGGAATAAATGCAGATTCATTTATTATTTTTATTTTTTATTTTTTTGTAATTCTAATGTCAATATTATTAGCCTAGTTACAGAACAAACCACTGTTATTCAATAGCTTGTTTAATTAACCGAGTTTGCATTTAACATTCTTCTTCTAACATTCACACTTTAAAGGGATAGTTCGTCTAAAAGTTCTGTCATCAATTACTCACCCCTTACTTGTTCAAACCTGTTTCAAACCTTCACCTATATATAGCAACAAAATAATATTAAAACAGGCTACAATATTTATTTGTGTGTGAAGGTCTACTTAATTCATATTTAACCCCACACATTATGTTTGTCATGCAGGTTTTTGATCAACTCAAGCAAGTGAATTTTTCTAAAAATAATTATTCTGTTTCGTTTGATGCTAATGGAGACCCTGTGGCCGTGTATGAACTTGTGAACTGGCAGCTTCAAGGAGATGGTTCAATTGATTTTGTGACAGTGGGCAAATATGATGCGTCCCAGCCTGAAGGCCAAGAATTCAGCCTGAACAAAGCTATCATTTGGTATGATGGCAGTGAAAAGGTATTTCATGTGTTGTTATAGTCTATTTTATTTTTTTTCAGGGATGTTAGGCTGTAACCTGGAAAATTATTACTGATGTTATATCATTATTTTAATGATGAGAGGAACAATACAATCATTAATAAATTGGTTCAGACTCTGATGTTATGTGCATCCGTCACCTGCAGGTGCCTGTGTCTGTGTGCAGTGAAAACTGTCCACCGGGTACTCGGAAGGCTGTAAAAAAAGGAAGACCTGTTTGCTGTTACGACTGCATTCCATGCGGAGAAGGAGAAATCAGCAATAAGACAGGTAAGCTGCTTGTCTAAACACTCTAGTGAGTAACATCTTAATATTAGTATTTTTATTACTGCTTGAATACATTTACCAACGATTTGTTAAACACCTTATTTTAAGTGTCTAATCATAGTCTGTAAACACATGCCATCTGCTAGTCATTAGAGTGTTTGTAGACTCAGGGGTGGATTAAGTGAATTCCAGCCATGGGGCCCAAAGATTCAAAAAAATGTAATTAATGTTTTTAAAATTATTATTTTGCTGTTTCTTTTCTTATCATTCAATCTGCTTTTCTACATTTTATATTCATGCAAAATAATAATATGTAAAGTACCTTGTCAAACATTTTAAACGATTTGTTTTCTTATTTCTAAAAAATAATAAATGAAATATTTTAGTCCCTTTATTAATCTGTGGTCACCACAGGGCATTTAAAAAAATTGTAATCCATTTTTATAATAAAGATTTCTTTTCAAGAAATTCTTCATTATAATGAAGGTTTTTGCATGAATTTAATTTTCAAATATTTGTTTTATATAGAACAAACTATTATGGTATGGCAGTTTGATTATCTCTGTTTTGTTCTTGTGGTTCATGAATTGCTGTTATGCAGTGGTATATTAATCTTCTAGATTCTCCAGACTGTGATAAATGTCCACCTGATTACTGGCCCAGTACTGAGAAGGACAAGTGTCTTCCTAAACCAGTGGAGTTTCTGTCTTGGGATGAGATCCTTGGGATTATCCTAGCTGTTCTCTCTGTTTCTGGCTCATTACTGGCTTTAAGCATGGCTTTAGTGTTTTATAAAAACAGGGCTTCTCCAATAGTGAGAGCCAACAACTCTGAACTGAGCTTCCTGCTGCTCTTCTCACTGACTCTGTGTTTCCTCTGTTCACTCACTTTCATCGGTCAGCCCACTGAGTGGTCCTGTATGTTGCGTCACACAGCTTTTGGGATCACTTTTGTCCTCTGCATCTCTTGCGTTCTGGGGAAAACAATAGTGGTGTTAATGGCCTTCAAAGCTACACTTCCAGGAAGTAATGTCATGAAATGGTTTGGGCCTCCTCAACAGAGACTCAGCGTTTTTGGTTTCACTCTTGTACAGATTATTATTTGTGTGCTTTGGTTAACAATATCTCCACCGTTTCCGTACAAAAATATGCAGCACTACAAAGACAAGATCATTCTAGAATGCAGTTTAGGGTCAGCTGTTGGTTTCTGGGTTGTACTAGGTTATATTGGTCTTTTAGCATCACTTTGCTTTGTTTTAGCTTTTCTGGCTCGGAAGTTGCCTGATAACTTCAATGAGGCTAAATTCATCACCTTTAGTATGCTCATATTCAGTGCTGTTTGGATCACCTTTATCCCAGCTTATGTCAGTTCTCCAGGGAAATTTACTGTGGCTGTAGAGATTTTTGCCATTTTAGCTTCAAGCTTTAGTCTGATTCTTTGTATTTTCGCTCCGAAGTTTTTTATTATTTTATTTAGGCCAGAAGAAAACACCAAAAAACATTTAATGGGTAAAGTACAAAGCAAATCTTACTGATGTACTCACAACACCTTGCATAATATATCACTTATTTCAAGATGTTTTGGTGCCAGCTTTAATCATATACATTTTTTAAAGTTTGTACTAGAGCTGCACAATATATGGTTTTCTCATTGAAATTGCAATGTGCACATTTGCAATATTCACATTACAGGATCTGCTACATCAAGTCTGGATTATATTTAATCAGGAGTCACAGAGGAAAACATGTAATTTTTGGACAAAAATGCAACGTTTAAACCATAAAGTTACCAAAACATCAATCACTTGCAAGTGTGAGCATTTTAAGCCAGTTTAAAGCATTTTTGACTTATATTAGATAATTTGTGCCTGAACACTGCAAGACTCATGGAAGACTCATAGAGACTCACTGTTTATTTTATGCCACTATATTTTTCAATGCTTGTGATACAGTAGGTTCAATATATTTTATGCAGATAGACAGTCCTACAAAATCATCCTAATCAATCTAAACCAATAAAATATTTCCACCCCGAACTCATCCTAGTGAAATGACAGTATACTCAATATCGCAATATGAATCATAGAAAAATAAAAGGTTGATTTTTTTTTTTTACAATATTGTGCGGCCCGAGTTTGTCATTTTATATTTACATGTTGACAGTGTGCATTAATCAAAACTATACAAATTGTATATGTACAATGGAAAACTTTGAAAAATATATGTAATTTGTATATATTGCCATGTATGAAATTTGTCTATGGGTTCTCTGGTTATGTTTTCATGTTGTATAAACTTTTTAAACAAAAAATATATCTTTTGTCAGTTTGCTGTGATGGCTGTGTATAAAGTTTCGCAGCACATTAACATTAATTCAGCACAGAGTGTAATTTGAAATTTGTATCTTGTATTTCTTGCTACTGAATAGTAAGTTTAAAAAAATCTTAAGGTTTTTTTCTTGGTGATTAAAGCAAATGTTCTCATTACATATCACAATGATCTTGTGTTCTGAAACAATGGTTATGTAAATTATATGTATGTATATATATATATATATATATATATATATATATATATATATATATATATATATATAGACACGTGCAACTTTACTCTAATCCTCTAAGCTTAGTAGCTTACAAAAGGGATCTTATATATATATATATATATATATATATATATATATATATATATATATATATATATATATATATATATATATATATATATATATATATACACACACAGTTGAAGTCAGAATTCTTAGCCCCCCTGAATTATTAGTGCCCCTGTTTACTTTTTCCCCAATTTCTGTTTAATGGAGGGAAGATTGTTTCAGCACATTTCTAAGCATAATAGTTTTAAAAACCTATTTCTAGTAACTGATTTATTTTATCTTTGCCATGATGACAGTAAATAATATTTTACTTGATATTTTTCAAGACACTTCTATACAGCTTAAAGTGACATTTAAAGGCTTAATTAGGTTAATAAAGTGAACTAGGCAGGTTAGGGTAATTAGGCAAGTTATTCTATAAAGATGGTTTGTTTTGTAGACTAGCTTAAAGGGGCTAATCATTTTGTCCCAAAAATAGTTAAAAAAAATTAAAAACTGCTTTTATTCTAGCCAAAATAAAGCAAATAAATAAAATTTCCAGAAGAAAAAATATTATCAGACATACTGTGAAAATTTCCTTGCTCTGTCAAACATCATTTGGGAAATATTTAAAACAGAAAAAAAAAAAATCAAAAGGGGGCTAATAATTCTGACTTCAACTGTATATATACAGTTATTTATACATATATATATATATATATATATATATATATATATATATATATATATATATATATATATATATATATATATATCAGAATTAATAAACCCCCTTTGAGTTTTTTTTCTTTTTTAAATATTTCCCAAATTATGTTTAACAGAACAAGGAAATTGTCTGATAATATTTTTACTTCTGGATAAAGTCTTCCTTGTTTTATTTTAGCAAGAATAAAAACAGTTTTAAACAAAAAAATAAAGTCAAAATTATTAGCCCCTTTAAGCTATATCGCAATAACCAATATATACTATCATAAATTGTTAAAAAAAAAAAACTCACCGAAGAAGGCTTAAAGACAGAGAAGAATCTGATTCTGATATCATCTTTCACTACTGTATTGTTGTTAAATAGCAAAAATATTTTACAAGTAACTTTTATTCTAAATCTTGGACCTTATTAAGAAAGAAAATACCTGATAAAAAGGTTTAAAGCACCAAAAGTTAGTTTTAAAGCGTATAAAAGTTTATTATAATACTAATTTGTTGCTATTCATAGATTTTTTAAAATGAGCTTTTTACAAGAGAGGCTAGAAAACCAGGAGGCTACACTATATTTATTATTACGTTTCAATTTTTTCTATTCAAGTGGCAAATTCTGGCTTAGTAAAGTTGAATGTGCGGGCAAGTTTGTTATTTTCCAATAAAATGACACAGGCTACTTAGTTGTAATAGTTTTTGAGATAAAAAAAAAAAAAAAACTTTTACCAGGCTGGCTACGGGCCTATATTCATTAAGAAAAAAAAGGCTTGCATAATCTAATGAAGCTGTTTCATTAGTTCAGTTTTAAGCTATAGTATCTAACTTCAATCCCACATGCTAAACGCTAAAAAGTAATTATGTTATGGCTGGTGCATTTTAGTACATTTTTTTTTTTTGAGTGTGCCTACATTTGGCAGTGAAAGCAAAACACAGACAGTGGTATCCCTACAGAAATCTGTCAGATGTTCTTATATAAGTTTAAAGTTACAAAAAAAAAATACACTGTATACCACAAATGCGCACACACACACACGTATACAGGTTACAAGGACTCTCCATATGTAATGTATTAATGTTTTTATACAGCAAAAACTGTTTCTAATATTGCTTAAATCCAGGAACCCTGTGGCAGATTTTGAATTTCAAAAGAAACTGGAGAAATTATTATTGTGTTAAAATGAAAATTCACTCTAACTAAAAATTGTCATCATTTACTCAGCCTTCACTTGTTTCAAACATGTTTGGCTTTCTTCTTTTGAACACAAGATAAGCTATTTTAAAGAAAGCTGGAAAACTATAGCCATAGACTTCCATATTATTTGTTTTTGTGTCTACGAAGTCAATGGTTACAGGTTTTCAACTTTTTTCAAAATGTCTTCGTTTGTGTTCAACAGAAGAAAGAAACTTGAGTAAATTGTAGTATTTTTTTTTTCATTTTGGGTAAACTATCTCTTTAATTAAAAAAAATTGTCAGATTAAATAGGCTAGTTTACTTTGTTCTTTAATCAAGTTTTTGCATAGTGCGGATATTAGTTCACCAAATTAATATAACTTTAACTGTGTATTTTGGGCTTCATCTCAGACTGTGAAGCAGGGCCACCCCAAACCTTCAGGGGGCCCTAAGCAGGATTTTATTTGGGGCCCCCTTGGTGCAAACAATATGACAAATTATCATCAATCCTTGATTATTCGCGCACTATAAATTTAAAACACACATTATCGATTTTATTCGCTGTAGATGTGTTGCTTACATTATAAAATGTTTTAAGACAATTCTAAATATTATTCTGCAGAAACAACTTCCTACTGATCCCACTATTTATGACTGCTTGCCACAAATCTAAATAGTTAGACACAAAATATGAATCTGAGCTGACAGAAACAAAAACAGCTGGAAGTAGCCAATAGCATACTTATTATTATTATTCAGTCACAAGACGCTGCCAAACAGTCAAACATAGTGACAATATATTTTTTAAATGGATATAAATGTTAACCCTGAAAAAAATTGTATTGTATTTTGTAGTTCAAATAACTTAAAACATCTATTTAAATGAAATTCAAATTAAACCAAGAAGCATTTTCAGATCTCTTTAGATAAATGTCTTGATAAATGTCTCTTTAGATAAATTTAGATAAATGTCTAGGCGCCAGAGTATGTACAGCGGTCGGAAATAACGTTAAATGGGCATATATTTGTCCCACCCCTAATCCACAACACAACAAACAAAAACAAAAACAAAAGTCACTCAGTCTTTACCAATGACTGTAAAAAATATGGACGACGCGACAGCCCTTTTTCCCATTGAACGCCTTGAGGGCAAAACGCCTGCTTGACGGGCACAAACTGTCGCAAAAGACTGCTGAAATTGGAGCCAGACATGCGCAGAAGGATTGTCTGATGGAGCCAGAGGAGGAGCCGCGAAAATGAGCAGAGTCGAGCTTCCAATCAAACGCTTTATGTAAAATCAACTACGCCCCCCGAACTTCTCAGCATGCGTTTGCTGTCATATCAACACAAATGGATGTAATAACGTTAACAAATATGAGGGTTATATATATTCAATCGCGCCAGCTCCAGGCCGCAGCGCATAACTTACTCGCGGCGTCGCGGGCTGATTCCGGCTCGCATGCGGCAGCGCCTGCTCGCTCGGCCGCCGCATCTGGCTTGATTGACTCGGGCTGGAATTGGGTAGTGAGTCCAGGCATCCGGAGTAGGTCCAGCAGAGGTAACATTAGTCAGTCTGAGCTCTAAGAGATAAGTCTCCGGCAGGCGAGAATCTAGCCGGAACTGTGCTTTGCTATCTGGGTGGCTAGGCGTGTATCAGCAAACTAATAAAGCCCGAAAAAAGCCCTGAACTTAGCGAATAAACAGTGTTCCACCAGGATCATGTATGTCAGAAACTATAGTTTACTGCTGAACTCATTTTGTCATGGTAAAATAACACAGAAATCGAATAATAACATTTCAGTCTACTTCAGTCTCCTGCCGAAGCTCAGACGCCGCGCTTTGAGAAACTGTCAATCACAGCTGTCAATCACGATGACACGCCCAGCATTAAATTACTGCTAAAAACAAACTGTTTACAAAAATGAAGATCTGCACCTATTTCAGCACAATAACCAGTGCCTTAATCGACCAGGGCTGCGTTTCCCAAAAGCATCGTAAGCCTAAGAAGTTCGTAGAAATGATCGTACGACTGATCTTAATATTACGGTCTGTTTCCCAAAAGCATCGTAACTTAAGTAGCACTTGAAAATCTTCGTGGATCTACGAGTGCTCTGGAGTAATCGTAAAGCCTTAAGTGCATCGTAAGGAGACAGAGTTATGAGGGCACCTGCTGGACAACCGGCAAATTGCACCTACAATTTACTTCTCTTCAAAGTCATTATTCATTTTATTTGTACGTATATCTCTATTCATTTATATTTTCTACACATTACACAATTCAATATACAAATAATAATAATTAATAATTAGGCTAAACTTTTCAAAAATAAATGTAAGAGCTTATTTATTTATTTATTTATTTACTTATTTATTTATTTTGATGTGAGATAAGCAATTTTTGATAAAGAAATTGATAAATAATTCTACTTAATTAAGGTTTCATATAAATATCGAAAATGATGCTGATGTCATTTCCGGCAAGGACTGTTAGAATTAGTTTTATGCGAGATTGGAGCAAGACAGTGTTTTTACAGTACGACATTTCCAGTTAATTTATGTTTTTAAACTGGCTCAAAAATATTTTTTTTTATGTTATTCGAGTTGAATATACATTCACACAAGTAGAAGAAGAATTATATGGATTGCTATAACATGTGCAACAATAACGAGCCATTCTATAGCGTGACATTTCAGCACTTAACAAACGGATAGCAACTCCTAAGTTGCACTTAAAGCTGGGCTACGTGCAATTGTGTTAAGTGCATTTTTGGGAAACGCACGTGAAACAATAACGAACGTTCGCAAAATGACTCGTAGAAAACGCTCTTAAGTGCTAAGATCAATCGTTATCGGGAAACGCAGCCCAGAACTATCTTTCGGGACATTTTATTGCAAGTGTAATATTTTTTTTTATTTGGGCTCAAGTCTCCTTCATTAACACGGAGGAGGCGGGCTTTATGACTTGTACTGCAGCCAACCCCCAGGGGGCGATCTAACGGCCGAAACCTTCACTCAAACGTAGGCTTGCGGCACACTTGGTCTTTACATGCACTCTTTGGGGCCCCCTGGTGGCCACGGGGCCCTAAGAAGACGTTTAGTTCGCTTATGCCTTGGGCCGGCTCTGCTGTGAAGAACATGTTCAAGTGTGTTAAGTCCTGTGTTAAGTAACTGATGCACAGCTTTCATTTTTGGTAAATATCATAATGCTCTATTTAAAAAAAAAAAAAGCTGAAATGTCTGTCATATATCAGGTCACATTAACTAAAAAAAATTTCGCATGTCCGTCATTTTTACAGATTTGGCTTTACGATTTTCTTCTAACCTCCTTAGTGACAAAAACACAGTGATTCTAAACAGAAAGCGCCCGTGTTGTACAAGAAACCGACAGCACAGAACCTATCCTTGCTTTTACTATTGATATCGCCATAGCGCACCTGCCAGCAACATTGTAACAATGTTAATCCCTGTTTCGGAAGCCAGTCCATCAACAGCACTTGAAAAAGATGATGAAAGCACTATACAAGAAGTAGCTGAAGCAGGGATCATCCGGTGTTAAACATTAATTAAAGCTCATCTTTATGTCCGAGATATGATATGACTTGGGGGCCAAACCAATTTAAACGGATCCGCCCTAGCAGATATTTAAAAAATGTACACTTTATATTTGAAAATTGTACCAAGCCACTAAAAAGATATTCCCACATATTTAAGTTCTTTGATAACATTTTGTATAAACTGTTTTAAATAACCAAATTAAACACAAACAATAAATAAACTAATCAAAATATTCAAACATAGAGAGAGTGCAAGAGCAAATATGTTCGCTATGTCACTCACCGAATCTAAGTGTAAAATAACGCACAATATAAAAAAATAAATAATTTATCTTTTTTTTTATAACATATGCCTAATAAATTAGGGTAGCATACTAATATTAAAATAAAATATTCACCTTTGCGCCGAATATAACTCCCCATGCAGAGATTAGGCTACACTCTTTGAAGAAATAAAAAAAAAAATTCCAATTAATCTATTTTTTCACATTTTTTTTTATCATTTTCAGTGTTTTTTTTTTTTTTTAAAGAAGCCCGAATTAATAAACAGCGTTTTGAATTATCTATTAACTTTAAATGTTATGTCGTTTATTTTTTTCTGTTTTGAGTTGAATAGAGAATACCAAACAACTTGTATTTTGGTGCCTACAGTAACACACGCACGCACGCTCTCTCTCTCTCTCTCTCTCTCTCTCACGCACACACACACACACACACACACACACACACACACACACACACACACACACACACATATATATATATATATATATATATATATATATATATATATATATATATATATATATATATATATATATATATAGTTATAATAAAGTTATATATAACTTTATAAAATAAAGACTTGTTCACCGTAAATTAGAAAATATGTAGGCCTACTTATTTACTCACATTCAAGTAATTTCAAACCCGTTCTCTCTGTCTGAGACTACTGATTGGACTACATAAAAAAAATATTTAGACAAACAATACAATTTTTAGGCGGTGTGCATTTTGAAACTTTGTAAAACACTCGAGGAAAGTTTACAGGTTCTGATTGAATATTTTGACATCAATTAGGCTAACTACACCTGTTGTCATTCCAGAGAGAGTTGAAACCTATAAAAACGCAATGCTCAACTAATATTTGAAGTAGTTGCTCTCCTAGCAGGAGAAATGTATAATAATGTTTTGTTAATCGTGACACTACAGTGTATCATCACGCGTTTGTATGTTGTGTATGGGAACCGTTTAGGTAGCTGCATCCTCCAAGGTGACCCTCAGCCTCCTGTTCTCTTCGACGAAGGAGACTTTATTATTGGAGGTGCTTTTAGCATCCATTACTATTTGAGGACAGAAAAGCACACCTATACTATGCGGCCACAATCATTAGAGTGCAGTGGCAGGTTAGAAATATAAAACCAAGTATATAATTCTTAATAGTCTTTTGTGGTTTGTGAATGTGATAAATTATGTTATTTTTTTTTTTTTTTTTTCATTGTGTAATTCAACAGCATGGACTTCAGAGAGCTGCGCTTTGCCCGTGTCTTGCAGTTCGCCATCCAAGAGATCAACAACAGCTCCGATCTCTTGCCGGGCATTACATTAGGGTACCGCATATATGACTCTTGTGGCTCTGTGCCAATGGCAGTCAAGTTGTCATTTCAGCTTGCCAACGGATTAGATCTCATATTTAACGACAATGATTCTTGTTCGAAATCTGCTGCGGTTGCCGCACTAGTCGGAGAATCTGGCTCCACGCCTTCTATAAGCATTTCAAGGCTTTACGGTCCTTTTGGCATTCCCCAGGTTTAGTAGGCTATTTTATTTTGGAGCATACCACCTACTCCTAATAATAATAATAATAAAAGTAATAATAATAATAAATAAATAAACAAATTCACAAAAAATATTAAAATTTTCCTTAATGTGTATTAATTATATTAACTGCAAATATACTGTCAAATTATCTCTTAACATTTTTTATGCAAATAGTAATTGGAGCAATATTTACATGCATTTTGCCCAATTACAATTATTTTATTTTTTTCCCTCTTCATTGTACACTAGGTGAGTCATTACGCTACATGCGCGTGTCTCAGTGACAAGCGACAGCACCCAACTTTCTTCAGGACCATCCCCAGTGATCACCATCAAGCGGCCGCACTGGCACGGATGGTCAAGCGCTTTGGGTGGACGTGGATTGGGGCTGTGCGCAGTGATTCAGACTACGGGAATAATGGCATGGCATCATTCCTGAAAGCAGCAGAGGAGGAGGGAATTTGTGTGGAATATTCTGAGGCCTACTACAGGACCCAACCGCGCAGCAAATTGATGAGAGTCGCTGATGTCATCCGAAGATCAACGGCTCGTGTCATTGTTGCTTTCATGGCTTCAGGAGATATGAGACTTCTGTTAGAAGAGTTGAGCCAACAGCCTCTTCCTCCGATGCAATGGATCGGCAGCGAGGCGTGGTTTACAGATCCAGAAATGTTGCGCTTTAATATGTGTATTGGTGGTGTGGGTTTCGCAATCCCGCGGTCAGTTATCCCTGGCTTTCGTACGTTTCTACTTGACCTGTCTCCACAGCGCGCAATGAAATTCCCACTGCTGACAGAATTCTGGGAAAGCTCATTTAGTTGTAGTCTAAAACAGCAGACAGGTCCTTCTACTGGCATGCCCGCGTGTGATGGCACAGAGGACCTTGGCAGGTTAAAGAACCCGTATACAGACACGTCCCAGTTGCGCATCTCTAACATGGTGTACAAAGCCACATACGCTATAGCTCATGCACTCCATGGCATTATCTGTAATGAAAAGAAGTGCAACAAAAACATCAAGATTGAGCCACGAGAGGTATTTATTTTGTGTTTTTTAATGTACCAAGTAATAGTTATAATTTGCTTTTAAACAGGGCTAAAAAATATCTGTGTAATCCAGTAGGCTAATGCATTTCTGATAGCAGATAACGCAATTTTCGCTTTAACACATTTAAATAATTTCATGTCTGTCATGCAGGTTCTTGATAAGCTCAAACAAGTGAAGTTTTCTAAAAATAATTATTCTGTTTCGTTTGATGCTTATGGAGACCCTGTGGCCGTGTATGAGCTTGTGAACTGGCAGCTTCAAAAAGATGGTTCAATTGATTTTGTAACAGTGGGTAAATATGATTCTTCCCAGCCCAAAGGCAAAGAATTCAGCCTGAGCAGAGCTATCATTTGGTATGATGGCACTGAAGAGGTATTAAATGTGTTCTATAATAACTCCTGAATGTTATGGAATACTCTAATACATTTGTGACTCTGATATTATACACGTCTGTCACCTGCAGGTGCCTGTGTCTGTGTGCAGTGAAAGCTGTCCACCGGGTACACGGAAAGCTGTCCAAAAAGGAAGACCTGTCTGCTGTTATGACTGCATTAATTGTGCCGATGGAGAAATCAGCAATGATACAGGTGCTTTGGGCATGTTCTGCTGGATAAATCACACATGGGCACTGACATACTATATACGACAGTACATGACAAAGAAAAATTACTGGGTAACACTTTCTATGAAGCTCATACTTGTAATGAATTATAACACTCTGTTTACAATTATTTATAATTAACCATAACAATTCTATACATTTATGTATAAAGACGCAACAAACCTTTATAAACTATATTAAAATGACAGTTATAGCTAGATGTATAACAACGTTATCAATACTTACTACAGATACATTTCAATTGTCAATGCACATGTTCATAACATCCTACACATGATTTGTATGTATTCGTTAGTCTAGTCGTGATTATATTTATAAAGATGCAGTTTTCAATGTTAACATTTTATGTTATGTTATAGTAGCAAAGCCTTAAAAGTAAGTAAACATATTTTGTTCTGTCAAAAAATGAATGGTCTATATTTATGATAAGAGTCATATGCTTTATAAACACTTATTGTGGGTCATAATAGAGTTACCAACCTGTATAAATGCATAAATATTGGCTTCAAGTGAAACAGGATGGAAATTTTCTATAAAAAGAGAATTGGTTATTGGCATTGCTCATTGTGTTGGTTATGCATGTATAAGTGGCTTATTGCCATTTTAATAGATCTTAGCAATTTATTTGTTTGAAAGACCATTTATAGACTTGTTGTGGTTGATTACAAATAATCATAAGCTGCATCTTTACATAGAATCACGACTGACTAATTAATACTTCTAAATCATGTACAATGTGGTATAAACACACACACACACACACACACACACACACACACACACACACACACACACACACACACACACACATATATATATATATATATATATATATATATATATATATATATATATATATATATATATACAGTTGAAGTCAGAATTATTAGCCCTCATTTGATTTTTATTTTTTTTTAAATAATTCCCAAAGGATATTTAACAGAGCAAGGATATTTTCACAGTATGTCTGATAATATTTTTTTCTTCTGGAGAAAGTCTTATTTGTTTTATTTGTTTTATTTTGCCTAGAATAAAATAAAATAAGCAGTTTTTAAGTTTTTAAACACTATTTTATGGACAAAATTATTAGCCCCTTTAAGCTATATTTTATTTCAATAGTCTACAGAACAAACCGTCATTATACAATAACTTGCCTAATTACCCCAGCCTGACTAGTTAACCTAATTAACCAAGTTAAGCCTTTAAATGTCACTTTAAACTGTATAGAAGTGTTTTATAAAATATCCAGTAAAATATTATTTACTGTCATCATGGCAAAGATAAAATAAATCAGTTATTAGAGATAAGTTAATATAACTATTATGTTTAGAAATGTGTTAAAAAACTCTCTTTGTTAAACAAATTGGGGAAAGAAAAAAACAAGGGGGCTAATAATTCAGGGGGTTTCCTCCGGGTGCTCCAGTTTCCCCCACAGTCCAAAGACATGGGGTACATGTGAATTGGGTAGGCTAAATTGTCCGTAGTGTATGAGTGTGTGTGGATGTTTCCCAGAGATGGGTTGCGGCTGGAAGGGCATCTGCTGCGTAAAAACTTGCTGGATAAGTTGGCAGTTCATTCCGCTGTGGCGACCCCGGATTAATAAAGGGACTAAGCCGACAAGAAAATGAATGAATGGTTTGAGCCTTGGCTGGATCAGTTGGTGTTTCTGTGTGGAGTTTGCATGTTCTCCCTGTGTTCGCGTGGGTTTCCTCCGTGTGCTCCAGTTTCCCCAACTGTCCAAAGACATGCGGTACAGATGAATTGGGTTGGCTAAATTGTTCATTAAAGATATAAGCTTCATAGAAAGTGTTAACAAATAATGTTTAAAATGCAGAAATTAAAAAGTGAAGGGAATTTAATTGATTTTGTTACCCATTCCCAGTTCTTTTACCTCAATTAATTTTTTTAAATTATCAAAACACAATTGTGTTTTATAATACAATTCAAAAGTATATACCCCTTATAAATCTCCCTTTTAAATTATTATTTTCTTTAGGATGCTTCACAATAATACAATTGATTTGTGCATATACATTTTTGTGCATATACATTAGATTAGTACCAAAGTCTAAACTAGAACAAATCCAAATGAAAAAAAATAATTCCAAAAAAGGTCACCATTCAAAAATGAGTACACTCAAATTAATATGTTGGATAAAAAATAAACTGTTAATACACAGGAAAAATCAAGTACATATATGTTTTTTTTTAATTAAGTTAAAATTTTGTGGTTTGTAATGTTTTATTTTGAAATAAAACATTTTGTTTTTAAATGGCAGAAAAAGCAATTTGGCTATATATTCACAGAGACATGCATAAAATATTAATTTTCAAATGGGGGGATTTACAAATGTAATCTATTAAAAATAAACAAACAAACAAATATTAAATAAAATTTTAACAAATTGGAATAACCAAGAGAAACTTCTAATAACTGATTTATTTTATCTCTGCCATGATGACAGTAAATAATATACTTTTTAAGATATTTTTCAAGACACTTCTATACAGCTTAAAGTGACATTTAAAGGCTTAACTTGGCTAATAAGGTTAACTAGGCAGGTTAGGGTAATTTGTCAAGTTATTGAATAATGATGGTTTATTCTGTAGACAGTCAAGAAAAAAATATATAGCTTAAAGGGGCTAATAATTTTGTCCCTAAAATGGAGTTTAAAAAAATTTAAAACTGCTTTTATTCTAGCCGAAATAAAAAATAAGACTTTCTCCAGAAGAAAAAATATTGTCAGACATACTGTATAATTGTAATATACTGGATAATTGTAACGGTAGACAACGGTGTTGAGGATCCACGTGCAGCTTTATTAAAGAGTAGTCGGTCAGGCAATGGTCAAACACAGGGGCAAATAGGTGGTACATACAGGGAAATCCAGAAGCGTAGTCAGGTCACAGGCAAATGGACGATATAGGCGACATACAATGTAAACAAGAGAACAAGGCAAAGGTAAAACACAAAAACACTAGACTAGAAGACTGCTTCATAATGTTACAGGGTATAACCAAACAAGATGCAACAATGTGAGTGTTACTGTTAGCAGTTTATATAGTCTTTGAAATTAGTCCTTGAGTAGCTCCCAGCTGTGTGTGTAAGTAATCAACGGAGAACAGGAACAGGTGTGTGTGTGGTGCTTGAAGGGAGTTGTAGTTCATACGGTGTCAAAACTTTAGTCCAAGGGAATGTGAATGTTCTTCAGTGATCTATAAGGGTTGCTGGTTATTGTGACAATAATATTTCAGTAGTTTAGCCAACATTCATTTCCCCCCAAAATCCACTGACTTTATTATTAATACTTTTGCATTTTTTGTTAATCGATTGTTTGCGTGTCTTAATTGCCCTGAGTTTGAAAAGATGAATCTCATACTGTGCATACTGTGGATGCCAATGGTTACAGGTTTTCAGCTTTCTACAAATGGTTTGTTTACCAGAACAAAGAAACTCATAAAGATTTATAACCACTTGAGATTTATAACCATTTTGTCTGGTGAACTATATAAAACTTGAAATATGTCATGGGTGCTAGCTTTAGATGTGCACAGAGTAAAGCAGCTGGCAATATTTTTGTTTCCACTATGGATGTCAATAACTGCTAAATTCCATCATTCTTCAAAATATAAGGATATGTCTGAACATATGAACATATGAAGAAAGGAGTTCAAAAGATTTGAACCGCTTAAGTGTGAGAAAATGTTAAGGAAATGTTTTTGTTCATTTTAAATTTTTAACTTGAATCCCGATTAACTTAACATAAATACATGTTTTTGTCATGACTTGTGATATTTCTTTTACAGTGTACTAGTGCCACATATTAGTACCTAAAAAGTACAAAAGTGTACATTTTGAAAAGGTATTGCAGTAACACTTAAAGGGGTGTTCATAAGACGTCATTAAACCTTTATAATCATGACATGAGTAGGTAGTGCTGTTGCCTCATAGCAGGAAGGTTGCTGGTTCGAGCCTCGGCTGGGTCAATTGGCGTATCTGTGTGGAGTTTGCATGTTCTCCCCTCGTTCGCTTGGGTTTCCTCCGGGTGCTCCGGTTTCCCCCACAGTCCAAAGAGATGCGGTATGGGTGATTTGGGTAGGCTAAATTGTTCATAGTGTGTGAGTGTAAATGAGTGTGTATGGATGTTTCCCAGAGATGGGTTGCAGCTGTAAGGGCATCCGCTGAGTAAAACATATGCTGGATAAGTTGGCGGTACATTTCTCTGTGGTGACACCGAATTAATAAATAGACTAAGCTGAAAAAAATGAATGAATAAATAATCATGACATGACCATGTCATGAATGTGAATGAGATTTTATGCATGCTTATAACAACTGTCATTAAGTGCCATTCGTTCAGTTATGACAACTTGACATAAACAAATACATCACAACCTGTTTTTGTCTTTCTCATGTCAACTTGAATTACCAATACAACACAACTTGTTTTTCATCAAAATGTCATTAAATCTAATGTTTTTATATTAATGACCCTGTTAGATATAATTTGACAGAGTAATCACACTTTTACATACAAATACAGCTTGTTCCACTGAAAACAGGATCAAAAAATTATTCATGACACAATTATAATGCCCCATGTCAATCATGTTTATGAGAGATTTCTGACAAAGATGAAAACTTTTGTGATGTATTTGTTAATGTGTTTTGTCATAACAAAACAATGTAATCTGTGCTTTTCAATGAGCTAACTGAGCAAATAACACTTAATAAAAGCTGTCAAAAGCATACATAAAATCTCATTTAAATTCATGATGTATCTTGTCACCCGGAGGAAACTTAGACGAACATGGGGAAAACATGCAAACTCCACACAGAAATGCCAATTGACTCAGCGACAGGGCTCGAACCAGCAACCTTCTTGCTGTAAGGCAATCATGCTACCCACTGCGTCACTGTGACACAATGATGAAATTAACAGTGATGCAATGACTTTGAAAATCAGGCAGTGTGAACTCGGCATTAGGCTTTAGCGTGGTTTATACTTCTGCATTCAGTGATCGATGTGACCCACGGCACGGCACATGCCTTGCGGGTTGTTGTGCATTTATACTTCTGCTCGCTGTTTGTGTTGCTCTGCAATAACACTTCTGAAACGCTAGCTAGCAGTGAGGTTTTTATGTTCCTCTGTATCGAGTTTCTTCGCTTGTGTTTTTCTTTTTCGAAAGCTACGTTAATGTAGAAGTAGCTCAAACTCACTCATTTTGAGGTGGGAATCAGGGCACGTGCAACAGCTTTAATCATAAGGTAAACACAACACAACAGTTTCCATCTGGAACTCTTTTAAGGGACTCTAAACTTGTAAACACTTGCTCCAACAGGTTCGCATGTCTCTAGGTCCAGCCCACACTCGTCAGCACTACCAAGCTGACCAGTGACAGTGCTTGCGCTACGCACACGATGAGAGCTATACATTACGTTCACACGCAGGCTGCGCCGGAGCATATGTGTGCACTTGACGCAGAAGTATAAATCTGCCTTTAGGCTTTGACAAGGTGGCAAGTTTTGTCACTCTAGTTAGCCCTGGCTCTTTCACTCCTCCACTGGCAAAAGTGATAAATGTCAATGAAAACAAACTATTAGTAGGAAACAGAACAAAAGACATTAAATGGGACAGAACTAAATACAAATTGAGACTTAAACTCACAGTAGACAATTAACTAAATGTATGTGAGGATAATGTAAAAAACAAATGGGAGAAATAGAACAAAGTAAACTAGGCTCAACTAATTCAATGAAAACAATAACATAAGGTCCACAACTGTGACATTTACTTAAATACATACGTTATACTGCTTATATGTAAACTGGTGTTAAGTGTATGTAAACATAACATCTAATATTCTGCATGCCAACGATGTCATTTCTATTGTCCATGAATAACTTTTTAACACTGATTTCCTTACCTTCCAGATTGTTTGGATTGTCATGAATGTCTCTCAGACTACTGGCCCAATAATGAGAAGAACAAGTGTCTCCGCAAACCAGTGGAGTTTCTGTCTTGGGATGAGATCCTTGGAATTATTCTGGCTGCTTTTTCTGTTGCTGGCTCTTTAGTGGCTTTAAGTATGGCTTTAGTGTTCTATAAAAACAGGGCTTCTCCAATAGTGAGAGCCAACAACTCTGAGCTGAGCTTCCTGCTGCTCTTCTCACTGACTCTGTGTTTCCTCTGTTCACTCACTTTCATCGGTCAGCCCACTGAGTGGTCCTGTATGTTGCGTCACACAGCTTTTGGGATCACTTTTGTCCTCTGCATCTCTTGCGTTCTGGGGAAAACAATAGTGGTGTTAATGGCCTTCAAAGCTACACTTCCAGGAAGTAATGTCATGAAATGGTTTGGGCCTTCTCAACAGAGACTCAGCGTTTTTGGTTTCACTCTTGTACAGATTATTATTTGTGTGCTTTGGTTAACAATATCTCCACCGTTTCCTTACAAGAATATGCAGCACTACAAAGACAAGATCATTCTAGAATGCAGTTTAGGGTCAGCTGTTGGTTTCTGGGCTGTGCTGGGTTACATAGGCCTCCTAGCTTTCCTATGTTTTGTTTTAGCTTTTCTGGCCCGGAAGCTGCCTGATAACTTTAATGAGGCTAAATTCATCACCTTCAGTATGCTCATATTCTGTGCAGTATGGATCACATTTGTTCCAGCTTATGTCAGTTCTCCAGGGAAATTTACTGTGGCTGTAGAGATTTTTGCCATTTTAGCTTCAAGCTTTGGTTTGATTCTCTGTATTTTTGCTCCTAAGTTTTTCATTATTATATTTCGACCAGAACGGAACACCAAAAAACACATAATGGGTAAAGTACCATCAAAAGCCCTTTAAGTCACTCATTGCTTCTGAGGTGCACACTCTGATTAATTTTGAACATTGTATTCTGGGAATTAAGCGTATAGGTTTCTGATTCTACTGTTTGTGCTGTATGTGCAAATAAATTAAATTCATATACTTAGAAGATGAAAATTTTATTAAAAGACTAGATTAGTTATTTTCCGAATTGTGTGGATGTGTGGAGTAACCTCTTGTGTAGCTGTGGAAACTTAACACAGTTAATTCCATGTTGTTGTTTTTGTTTTACACAATATTTTGGGTTGTCTTGATATGCAGTAATGTTCAAAATCCACAATAACTAATAAAAAAAACTCCAAAATGTCACAGTCACCAGCAATCTAGCACATGCAGAAATCTGGAGGACTACAAATCTGTCAGCAAAAGAGCTACAATATACAGTCATGCACCGCTCACACACCTGTTCCCGGTTCCATTAATTACACACACACAGCTAGACGATCGTTATGAACTGATTACAGGGACTATATACACAGCACACACGCACACCTCAGGGCTGTGTCTTAATTAACTGTGTGTGACATTACGATGTGGTTTCCTTTGCCTTGCCCTACTGTGTTTGACCCATGCTTTGTTTTGTTTGTTTATTTATGTTGTCTGCTGCCTGCCTTTGACTATGTGCCTGTTTTTTGACCACGACTTGCCCGTATACTTATGTTTGTTCCTGCGTTAGCCATTGCTTGCCTGACCATTCTCATAATAAATCCTGCATTTGGATCTACACTTCAATTGTCAGTGTCCCTTCACATTACAAATAATCTGCTGTTTCTGTGAATGGAGACATCAGCCTTAAATCAGCTATATTTGTGCAAAATATATTTTATAGTCAACTGTAATAAAAAAATGCCAATTCACATTCAAGTTTTTTAGACCAGTGACCAGAATCAAAAATAATTTTCATTGATTCATTCATTCATTTTCTTTTTGGATTAGTCCCTTTATTAATCTGGAGTCGCCACAGCGGAATGAACTGCCAACTTATCCAGCATATGTTTTATGCAGCAGATGACCTTCCAGCTGCAACCCATCACTGGGAAACATCCACATACACTTATTCACACATACCCTGTACATACACCCATACACTAGTCAATTTTAGCATACCCAATTCACCAATAGCGCATGTCTTTGGACTTCTGGGGGAAACTGGAGCACCCAGAGGAAACCCAAGCGAACACAGGGAGAACATACAAACTCCACACAGAAACGCCAACTAACCCAGCCGAGGCTCAAATCAGCAACCTTCTTTGCTCTGAGGCGAACTTGCCACCCACTGCGCCACCGATACACCATTTTTTTTTTTTGTAAGAATAAACTTTTAGGTTGTCATGGCAAGGTAGGAAGGTAGTCAGCTGCTCACTATTTTAAAATAATTTGCTATTTAGACACAGGTTTTGTGTGCACCTTCATTTTCACTGCATGACAAAAATGATAATAAATGAGGCCCTAGGTGTTAATGGAGGCCTTGGGACTTCATTTCTTTTGTCTTTGCTTAATACATTTGTGTAAAGATGTTAGGTCAACATAAACATCAAATATTAAAAATAGTTAAACACATGACAATAAAGTCTTTAATCCATTTGTTTATTCATTATATTTATAGCATTGTAGAGTAATAATATTTGCCCTAAATTTACAGAAAACATATCAATCATCATAAGACAGTATAACAATCAAGCGATATAAAACAAATGAATTTAATTTTGTGTGCACAATAACAGCACATTGTAAAAAAATATATAAAATCATTTCGACAATTTTCCAGTCATTCCCTTTTTGGTGTTTAAATCAGGCCTTAACAGAATTACATAACATTTAGGTATAAAAATGCTAAATAAAAGTCCAAAAGTAGAAGCTAGAATGGCAAATATCTCAACAGCAACTGTGTATTTCCCTGGAGAACTGTTGTATGCTGGTATAAAAGAGATCCACACTGCACAAAATATGAGCATACTAAATGTGATAAGCTTAGCTTCATTAAATGTATCTGGAAGTTTCCTTCCAAGGAAAGCGAGGACAAAGCACATACAAGAGAGCAATCCTATATAGCCCAGAACCAGGTAAAACCCAAGTGGCAAAATGTCTTTGCATTCTAGTATAATCCTGCCATCCTGATAGGATGTGTTTTTATAGGGGTAAGGAGGTGCTAGTGCCAACCAACAAGCGCACAGAATAACTTGTCCTGTTGTGCAGCAGAAAATGAAAACCCTTTGCTGTGGGGGGCCAAACACCTTTAGAGAAATGGATCCAGGAACTGTAGAACGAAAGGCCAAAAGCACCACTATGGTCTTGACCAGTATGCATGAGATACATAGAACAAAGCTGATTCCAAATGCTGCTTGTCGGGCGCGGCATGTCAATGGCGAGGGTCGACCCACGAACACCAGTGAGCAAAGGAAGCAAAGTTTGAGAGACAGCAGCAGTAGAAAACTCATCTCAGAGTTGTTGGCCTTAACTATGGGTGTGCTTCGGAAAATAAAAAAAATCACCATAACAACTGTTGCCACAGCAACACCAAATAGAGACAAAGAAATGAGAATGATCCCCATCACGTCATGGTATGACAGAAACTCCTCAATGCCAGCAACACAGGAAACTCTTTCTTTGTTTGGCCAGTAGTACTCTGGACACTTGAGACACTCAGTAGCACCTATAGGTACAAACAAACATTATAGATCACTGTTTGTCATGTATTGCCATTAATTATGGTTGCTTGCTAATTTACACTCTGAAATACTCGATTCTCTTTGGTCAGTTGCATCATTCAGCAAAAATAGACAGGCAAACAGATGGATAGAAATGTTCCTGATCGGCAGAACGACAGGCATTTACCTGATATATTGCTGATTTCTCCTTCAGCACAAGGCAAACAGTCAAAGCAGCAGACAGGCTGTCCTGGTCGAGTGGCCTGGCGGGTTCCAGGTGGGCAAGGAGGACTGCATAAGGAAACTGGAACCTGCATGCATTACGTTATAATGTCAGGAGTCTGCCAAAACTGAAAGCTTTGTGACTGTTTGTCATGAGTGCACAAGCTCACCTTGGTTTGTCCGCCTGTCCACCGAATTAAGCCCTCTTCTATTTTAAGCTGCTGCCCATGTGGGGCGGAGCCGTCATAGGTGCCAACCAACTGAAAATTGATGGTACCTCTAGCATTTTTCTGCCAGTTTATGATGTCATAGAGTGGCACAGGCTCTCCATTGGTGTCAAAATAGACTTTTTCATTGAACTGGTTTGTAAAGTGTACCTTCTTCAGATAGCGTAGAAGCTATTTTATTAGTTATGGCAAATGAGAGAAAGTATATAAATACAAGTACAATATTGATTCTTATTTTGAATTTAATGAGGGTTTCTGCAGGCTTTATGAAGACAAGTGTTAGACTTTTTAAGGCCCATTTAAGACTAAGTTAAAAAAAAGATTCTGAAACAATTATCATTATCTCTAAAATATGGCCCTTGATAATTAAAATAATCAACTATTACATACACACCAACACACATTATCATACTATTGTTTTTTTAACCCTCAAGGACCATGTCTTCTGTCGAAAAATGTAACATTCTGCTGAATAAAAGGGAAGTGAGTTAATCGATAGTATTTAATGCTGCATCTTCTTGAGTTTAAGAGTTTTTTTTTTCTTTCAAATTCATTTTACATTTTTTAATACCCACAACAACATTTTTAACAAAAAAATAAATAAACTGTTAAGTGCAATCATATTCAGGGTGTCCAAAGGCCTTATAAAGTCTTTAAATGTCTTAAATTGTGTTTTGTAGGTTTTAAATAATTGTAACCAGGTCCTAGTTTTCCTATGACCATGTAAAGCTACCCAATCAAGCCAACACGCATTCAATAACCAACAATTCTTCAAAGTAGAACTTTTAACAAAACTCTATTTACCAATACAGTTTAATTATGATCCTTACTATTAGCTTAAAAATTCTCATTATATTTGTAGTCCATATATGCTAAGGACGCTGACCTGGACAGACTCTTGTGCATACATTTAGTGTATTATAATTTTATTTTATATATATATTTTTTTAAGATAAGTTATGTTGAAAAATGTGTATACATAAGATTTGCTTGTTTTGACAATTTATTAAAAATGTGGCTAAAAAATAACCAACTTTAATATAATATAATAAAAAAAGTCCTGTATAAGTCTGAAATTGCATTCATTATGGTCTTAAAAAATGTCTTTAAAAGTCTTAAATTTGACTTTGTGAAACCTGCAAAAACCCTGATATGTAAATAAATGCCTAATACCTGCAATGGAGAGAACTTTGATTCAGTATTACAGCTGTGATCTGAGCCTTGTTCCTTAGAGCCACATTGTAATAGCTGGTGTAGAGCATGAGCTATAGCATAGACAGCCTTATAGACATTGTATGAAATCCTCACCCTTGATACATCAGTGTAGCTACTTTCCGTCTCCAGCAGATTCTCTGAGCCAGTACAGAGTGGCAACACAGAATCATTGCTGTCCTCGTAACCTAGTCTGCATCCAAACAGTTCCTCCCAAAACATGTTAGTGAAAGCAGATTCAGGTCTCGATGAAGGCCTTACCCTGAAGAGAAACTCAGCCAAGCCAGGAATAGCGGTGCCCCTGAAAGAAAAGCCCACTGTTCCTATCAGGACAGGATGAAGCTCGGGGATTGTGAGAAGTTTGGCTGTCACCCAGGCCTCACTGGCCACCCATTGCAACCTAGTCAGATTCCGGCGAGCAACTTCAACCAGGAGCTCCAGCAGTTCTCCTTCAGTGGCAAATGCTATAATTACTTGTGCTGTAGAACTTTCAAGACTATTAAGAATAGAACGTATCTGTGCCTGAGAAGGTGATTTGGGTATAGTTTGATGAAAGGCAATACAGCTACCAAGTCTTTCAAGCTGCTCGGTAAATGCCTGGATACCATAGTGACTGTAGTCATCATCCGTGCCCACTGTACCCACCCAGCGCCAACCAAAGTGGGAAACCAACTGGACCAGTCCCTGCACCTGAAACCTGTCACTAGGGACAGTGCGAAGGAAAGAAGGATACTCCTTTTTATCTGTGAGGCAAGTGCATGTGGCAAAGTAACTTATCTTGAGTAGAAAAAAGACAAAGAGAAATATCAAACAAGAGAGATTCAGGTAATGTCAATGTATCAACAAAGGTTTTAAATGAAATTCTTTCCATTTGACTGTCTATTAAATAAAAATAATAAATGGAATATCTAGAATTATCAACTGTGACCAGACCCATTTTGAGATTCTTACCAATGGAATTCCAAACGGACCCAAAGTTTGTGCCACAGCTCGTGTAGGTGAAGATGATGCCAGGCCTATGACAGCTGGCACTGGGGCTGTGGACAGGCAATTTGCAGTGCCAACAGCATCAGTCTGTGTTTGACCAAATGTGCCGTTCAGAAGAAAAAGTGCACTGCGCAGACTGGTGTGCACATGATCACAGCTATCCAAGATCCTATAACCTAGTGCCACTCCAGGTAACAAACTTGAGTTGCTGTTGATTTCTTCAATGGCAAAGACCATTGTTTGAACCCAGCGAAATGCACGAAAGTCAAACCTGTTAAGAAAATAGACAGAGAGCCAATGCAACAAGTAGGGAACTGGTTGTAGCAGTAGTAAAATGCAGACAAATAAGTTAGTTCTTAGGAAAACAGTTGTTTAAAGATATAACAATTGTTCTAGCATAGCAACACAGCATTTAAGGTGTAGACCTCATTTACATTGCAGTTTAACTCATGCATTAAAACAAACTTGGTACAATTTTTCATTTATGTTCTCCATTATACTCATGTCATTTCACACACCTGCTACAATCTTGATAGTGTGGCAAATCAGAGAAATTATAGTCAGTTTCTGGAGCTATATTGTGCATGGGAAACAGCCCTCCAATTACAATATCACCATCCTGTTCCAGTACTGGGGAATTAAAATCACCCAATGTCCAGCAACTTTTGTCCAATGAGGTGCATAAAACTACTGAGAAGTTCAACAGAAGAGCAAGGCCCAGTGACACCAGTTCAATCACTGGCATTTTTCTGGGGTCTTTAAATTCCAACCATGGAGGCAGCAAGTGAGGATCCCATCCAGAGTGGATGAAAGAGTGGATGAACCACCAATATATAAAATATATTACTATAATGATGAATGAAACATCAGGTGACGCTGGCCAATGGTAAACATTGTGGGTGGAGTAGTCATTCAGGTCATGTGATTTAACTGTGTTTCACATTAAAGTGCCTTGATATGTTAGGTCCTATACAAAACAATACAATATTTATTTATAGAGCACATTTAAAAAAAAACAAGGTTGACCTATAAAACAAAACTAAAACATTACTATTGACATGGCATAATGATTGTCTAAAATCACATCTTGTGAATGCAAACCCATCACCTTACTATAACCTTTGAATCTGACAAAATTAGTTAAAAAAACACATAAAAGACAAAATATGTGACAGTACGTATATTCTGCATATACATATAGTAAAAGTCAATATTTTAGCCCTATGTTTTGAGGAAAGTATGAACACCTGCACATTAAAATAAAGTATTTTATTGAAATCTGTGTAAACAGATGGAGTCAGTCTTTCTCTTTTACAACTCTGCAGCACTGATGTTATGTTTAATAGTGTGGTACACCTGCGTTAAGTTAGCTGCTGTAACCTAGAGGAGAGGAGGGGAGAGGAGAAAATACTAATGAACCTAATTTTAAAGGGTGGTATTGATAACAGATTTTGACTAAAATATATGTCATTATTTGCAGTAACAACTATCCTAACATAGAAACAGCACATACATAAACTAGATACAAACATTAGCTACACGGTAAAATAATTATATGATAAATTAGTCCTGACAGCATTAGGTCATTTTAACTTATTGAAATAAGTTAATCATGTTCTATATTTTCTATCTAATTTTTTAAGTTATGCAAGCTGTTTTAAGCCAGTTTAACATAATATAAGGTTAATGAACTTTTGGTTAATTTGGTTCAGCTAAAATAAATAAATAAATAAGGCAACCAGGATTTTTTACAGTGTAGTAAAGTTTTCTTATATCCTATTTTTTAAATTTTAAAATATGGAAAGTTGCAATTTACTAGTTTATTTTCTTTACATGGGCATTATGTTGTTTGTTAATGTATACAATAAAATGTTTTAAGTATTAAATAAATGCTTATGTACCTGTCTTAACCTTAACAAACAAATCATAATGTTACATTGGAATGTGATCCACTTACATTGTATTTACAATGTAATACTTTGATTTTTATGAGCTGTCATTGCGGGAATGCTGCTCTCCGGAGGCATGTTGTCCCACAGACCACCATGAGCCACATAAAACGCTCTCCAACGAATCGTGCAGTTAGCTAAATAATTATTTCTGAAACTCTGCAGCCAGCAACTGTATGTACTCCCACTCTCTGCGGTACTTTTGCAGTCGCTTGCCTTTAAACTCTGAAACTTTAAAACGCGTAGGGTTGCCCGGAGATGCATCTGACTTTACTTTCTGTCAAGACTTGACCCACTCTGCTTAGAAGAACCACCCTCCTCACTGGACAAAGACCAATCAAACATAACGATGACATCAAGTATTACCCAATCAAAAGTAGGAAATAAGGTATCTTCAGTATCTGACAAAAAAAAAAAAAAAAAGGACAAAAGCCGTCCCGTATTGATTCAAAACCGGACGCGCAATTTCATTATCAAAAACGATTCTGTAAGGAATGGAGGGCAACCCTATGTGTGAATGAGAGTGTATGGTTGTTTCCCAGAGATGGGTTGCAGATGGAAGGGCCTCCCCTGCATAAAACATATGCTGGATAAGTTGGTGGTTCATTCCGCTGTGGCGACCTCAGAATGATAAAGGGACTAAATATATATATATATATATATATATATATATATATATATATATATATATATATTTTTTTTTTTTTTTTTATTTAATATATATTTTATATAATTTTTAGCCCCTTTAAGCTTTATTTGTTTTAGATGGTCTACAGAACAAACCATCGTTATACAATAACTTGCCTATAATTACCCCAACCTGCCTAGTTAAGCCTTTAAATGTCACTTTAAGCTGTATAGAAGTGTCTTTAAAAAAATCTAGTAAAATATTATTTACTGTCATCATGGCAAAGATACAATAAATTAGTTATTAGAAATGAGTTATTAAAACTATTGTGTTTGGAAATGTGTTTAAAAAAAGTCTTCTCTCCATTAAACTATATTATAAAATTATAAAATAAATAAATAAATAACAGGGGGGGGGGCTAAAAATTCTGACTTCAACTGTATATATATATATATATATATATATCTATATATATATATATATATATATAGATATATAGATAGATAGATAGATGATAGATAGATAGATAGATAGATAGATAGATAGATAGATAGATAGATAGATAGATAGATAGATAGATAGAACCAAGTATTCTAACTTGCCTAGTAAAGATCATAACCTAGTTGTTTTTAAATTGCATTTTAAGCTGAATACTAGTATTATATATATATATATATATATATATATATATATATATATATATATATAGTGTGTGTGTGTGTGTGTGTGTGTGTGTGTGTGTGTGTGTGTGCAAAGATAGAGACCCATAATGGGTTGAAAAAATTATAAATATGCTATTAAAAAATGAGCTTTGTTCATTTGTAATTCCTATTCTGCTGTTTGCAGGTGTTAAGATTCTGGCTGAATTATTGAGTTGAATTAGGAATGGCAGATATGTATATGCTTTTTTAATTAGTGACTGCCATCTACTGGAAACTTTATTTACAACCTGTGATTTTATTTTGCTGTTTTGTGCTTTTTAATTATGATTTGTTTGTTTTCAAACAATTTGTAATGTTCACGACTAAGACAGTTATCACAAATCTGTTGTATTTATTGTTATGTTGCTTTGTTCTGTGCAATTGAAAGACAGTGAGATCTACTAAGTGACGTCTTTCCTGAGAAGCCCATGTGGCACCACCTGCTCTATAAAATAGTGCTGCACATCAACTGCATCTTGCATTAACATGTCAAGTGTGTGAGACAGATAGAGTAATGGACACGTGGATCACTTTATATTTATGTTTTTATCTGTTTTTTAAATCTATCTCTGCCTCTTCAATCAGTAAATCAGGCTCTTGTCAGCTCCAAGGACACTTCAAGTTAAATGGGATGTACCAAGATGGAGACCTTATGATTGGGGGCCTGTTTGCATTTCATCTTATCACAGTTTTCCCGGAACTAAACTTTAAAAGAGAACCGGAACAGACACATTGTGAGCGGTGAGACTGTGCAAAACCGATGGGCAGAAATAAAAAGAAATAAATAATTAGATGAAAGGACATTCGAATATGCAGTCATGAAAATAGCCAGAAGTAAAAAAAAAAAAAAAGTGTTTTTGTTGACCTGTATTTTTGTCTTCTTATTCATTTAGAGCATAACTGATCCTAAAAATCCATTAAAAAATGTAATCCTATCAAGAGAATGAATACATTTTCCTGATTATTGATTTTAGGATTATTTACTGAATAATAACATTTGCACCACCTTTTCTAGGTTCTATATGGCAAGTTTTCAGCAGGCACAAACTATGGTATATGCCATAAATGAAATCAATAACAATCCTAACCTGTTGCCTAACATCACCCTCGGTTACCATCTGTATGACAATTGTGTGAAGCTTGGAGTTGCATTCAGGTCTGCAACAGCTTTGGTTAGTGGGACAGAGGAATCCTTCAATGTTTTGAACTGCACTGGTCCACCACCCATCATTGGGATTGTGGGGGATCCTGGATCTACTCATTGTATAGCAATCTCCAGTGTGCTGGGATTATTTCGAATACCTATGGTAGGATGTTTTGTATATAAAATTGTATTACCGCCTATAAAAATTGTTAATTGTGTCTGTTCATGTCAAACTGTACTGGCTGTAATGATAACACATTTGTCTTTTTAAAATATATACATTATATAGGTTAGCTACTATGCCACATGCTCCTGTTTAAGTGACCGGAGCAAATACCCCTCTTTCTTCAGAACAATTCCCAGTGATGCTTTCCAGGTGCGGGCTATGGTTCTGATCTTGAAGCACTTTGGATGGACCTGGGTTGGGCTCCTCTACAGTGATGATGATTATGGCATCAATGCTGCTCAATCTTTCCAAAAGGAAGTGCAGTTGTTTGGAGGTTGTGTTTCTTTTTCTGAAATCCTGCCACTTGATAATAACCACATGGACATCCAGCGTATTGTACAAGTGATTCAGGCCTCTACAGCAATAGTGGTGGTAGTTTTTTCCACAGAAGCCTATCTGCTTTCCTTGATGGACGAGGTGGTTTTGCAGAATGTAACAGGCAGGCAGTGGATTGCAAGTGAAGCTTGGGCCACCTCTTCAGTTTTTCACACTAAGCGTCTTTTGCCTTTCCTGGGAGGCACACTGGGTATTGCCATAAGACGTGGAGAGATCCAGGGACTTCGTGATTTTCTGCTAAGCCTCCACCCAGACAGTAATTTGAGAAATAATATGGTGAAAATCTTCTGGGAAAACATGTTTGAGTGCAGTTTTGATACTGTGGGTAGAAAGGGTGAAACGATGTGTACAGGTCAAGAAGATATCAGGACAACAAACACACCATATTCTGACGTTTCAGAACTGAGGGCTTCTTATAATGTCTATAAGGCAGTTTATGCCCTGGCACATGCTCTTCATGACCTAATACAGTGTGAGGAGGGGAAAGGACCATTCAGATGTGATGGCATAACAAACTTGAAACCCTGGCAGGTAAAACTTCCATACACAGAGCACAGCCTATCAGCTAATATATATTAAATGTCCATTAACCTGTAAATAAAATAAAAAAATAGACAAAAATGTGTACATATGAAGCATACAACTGTCCTGTCTTCAATCTGCATAGCTGGTTCACTACCTACAGAAAGTGAACTTCACCACAGGCTTTGGGGATCATGTGTCATTTGATGAGAATGGAGATGCTCTGGCCATCTATGATGTGATGAACTGGCACCCCAGCTCTGATGGGTCAATTGTTGTCCGCACAGTAGGTGTTGTAGATGAAGGGGCATCAACAGGGAAGGTGCTTACATTGGAGGAAGATGAAATATACTGGAACACAGCAAAAAATAAAGTAACTTATATCTTCTTAATTTTTTTGTTACTACTGAAACAGGAGTATAGTTCGTATATCATAACATTGAAAAAGAGTCATATCATTGAATTTTATTCAGACATATACGGCATTTAAATGTTTATTGTATGTACGTATGTGTTCACGTGTGTGTATATATATGAAGAGCTTAGATGCAAACAGTTTAAAAATAAGCAATTAGCTCAGTCTTTTATGTTATGTTCGGGTTTTTCACTTTAAAGGCAATGAAAAGCAGTTATTCATTGCCTTAAAACTTAAACACAAGAGTCTGAGGAAAAGAGCACTTAGAGGTTTTTGCATCTGAACTCTTTGTATGTTTTTCAGCCTGCACGGTCTGTGTGTAGTGAGAGCTGCCCCACAGGAACCAGACGAACAAGGAGGAAGGGGCTTCCTGTCTGCTGTTTCGACTGCCTTCCATGTGCAGACGGAGCAATTTCTACAATACCAGGTAAAGAAATTCACATCATAAAGTTATCTGCATTTTTATTCAATCATAGTTTTCATCAACAGTATACCTATATCATTTCACTCTCTCTTTTCTCATGAATATAGATTCCATTGAATGTGTGGTGTGTCCAGATGAGTTCTGGTCTAGCCCAAAAAAGAATCAGTGTGTCCCCAAAGATGTAGAGTTTCTTACTTATGGGGATCCTCTGGGCATCTCTCTGACCACCGCTTCCCTGCTTGGCTCCTGCATCTGTTCTGCTGTGGTTGTCATTTTTGCACATCATCGTCACACTCCTGTAGTACGTGCTAACAATTCAGAGCTCAGCTTCCTTCTGCTTGTGTCGCTCAAACTGTGTTTCCTGTGCGTGCTGCTGTTCATTGGCCAGCCACAGTTGTGGACATGTCGGTTAAGACATGCTGTGTTTGGCATTAGCTTTGTCCTGTGCATCTCCAGCATTCTGGTCAAGACTATGGTGGTGATAGCAGTATTCAAGTCCTCTCGACCTGAGGGTAAAAGTGCTATGAAATGGTTTGGTTCACATCAACAAAGATGCACAGTTCTGGTCCTCACTGCACTCCAGGTTGTCATATGTGCAGTCTGGCTAACAAATGCATCCCCAAAACCTTACAAAAACAACCAGTATACAAGCTCCAAAATAGTATATGAATGTACTATTGGCTCAGTGGTTGGTTTTGCAATGCTACTTGGCTATATTGGCATTTTAGCAGCAGTAAGTTTTCTCTTAGCCTTCCTGGCACGAAATTTACCAGATCATTTTAATGAGGCAAAGTTCATCACTTTTAGCATGCTCATCTTCTGTGCTGTATGGATTGCATTTGTTCCAGCATATGTGAGCTCTCCAGGAAAATATGCAGTGGCTGTGGAGATATTTGCTATTTTAGCTTCTAGTTTTGGATTGCTGGCTGCCATATTTGCACCAAAATGCTACATTATTATTTTACACCCAGAAAGAAACACTAAAAAAGCCATCATGGGAAGAGCAACCTGAAAGAACATAATTTGTATCATAGACCAGCTTGATCTCACAAGAACATGTAAAAATGTTGCATTTTGCCAGTTTAGTGGCTAATTCGTATGAATTCATACGAGTTCAGTTATTTGAGACATGGCACCTAACCCCACCCCTAAACCCAACCGTCATTGATAGATGAACAAATCATACTAAATTGTACTAATTAGATCGTACGAATTCATATGAATTAGCCACTAAATCAAAAATTTACAAATTGCCTTGAGATTGTGTTGCATAGACGCTCTCCAGTGTTTTTAGACTATATCTAAATTTGCTATTTGATGAAACTTAAAAACAGCTTTGACGCATATAAAAATAGTAAACAGGTTTGCACTCAAGTAATTGTGGTTTCCAGATAAATGTCTAGCAAGGTAATTATTATTTTTAAATAAAGAGTTTATGCTAAATGTACATGTTGTTAATAGCATGTGGCCATACTATGGAATATGTAGCAAGTGTTTTAACATTTCCATATTACATTGTTTAAATGTTTTATCATTAATGTTTCTGAACTCTAGTCCTGGGGACTCCACCACTGTGCACATTTTGTTATTTTCTTATAATACATCTTATTTAGCTCTCAATAACAGACAGCTCCATGAAACCCTGTTTGAGACAAACGAAACTTGCAAGTGGTAGGGTGGTACCTTCCTTTTAAAGTTTTGTACTAATAGTCCATAATGGAATCCTAAAGGTCAAGTGTACAGACATTAAGTGTACAGACTAACAACTTTTAAAAATGTTCTGCCCCAGTAGCTGTTTCTGCCTCAGTTCGCAAAACTGGATAATTGCATAAAAAACTTGTGAATAAAACAGCGTTTCCATCCAATGAGTCAAATCGAACAAAATGGTCACTTCCTGACTAATTGGCGCCAAATTATTAAGAAATTAAAAATTAAATTTGCTGTGGTATGAGAAGCTGCCTTAATCTTTTCTTTATTTAATTAATGACTTGTGCCTCAGAAGGCAATCCTGAATACAGACGCTCAGGGCCGCTGCAACCCAAAAGGGTTCCCTATGGAAAATTTTACTGTGGTGCCCCCACAGAGGAACAAAAACACACAAACATATGTATTTAAACATGTTTTTATTTATTTATTTACATACATAAATATGCATGCATAATTATACTTAAACATTCAAATATTAACATTAAAAAATAATAATTTACATCAAAATAAACACTGACATGTCTTCTGCAGAAGCATTCCCAATCTTAAAAATTTACAAAAGGCAAGAAATAAAGCCCTCTCTGTACCTGTAGAGATAGACGGTCCTCAGTGCTGCTGTGTCTTTACCTGTGCAGCTGCTGGTGCCTCTGGAGCAGTGCTGGTCATTCCACCTCCTCTACTTTTGTAACAAATTTCTGCTTTAAACCTCCATGTACAATACAGATGAAATTAGTCATTTAAAGAAAAAACTCATGACACATCATTAAAATAATAGTCTAGTCAAGCCATCTTCATGTGTCTAAACTACAACCAAAATGTGGATTTAACTTGCACTATAATCGATAGTGACAAAAACTGACACTTGCTTTCAATATAAATCAAAGACATTTGTGTTTTTTAAATACGAATGAGTGTATTTTGAAACAAAAAACTTTGTTAACATTCAAAAAAAAAAAAAAATCATTAATGAATTTATGCAATAAAATGGTTTCTTGTGTTTCTGGTTTCTATTAATAATAATTGAGTTTGTGTAATTATTAGCAACATGGGGAAGAGGGACAAACATGTCAAACAAGTCATAAAACATGTCCTGTCAGTTTAAAGCACAATGCATAGCCACAAAGTAAGAAACTGAACGTGAACTACAACAATAGATAAAGTAAAGTTTGACGGCTAGCCTCAATATTACAAATTTTAAATTAAAATTTTTGTTTTTTAGTTTTCCAGATTTATGAAAACAAGATAACTGAAAGTTATTCACACTATTCATCCTGTACTTTTTTCCTCTTCTTGGTTCCAGACTGCTGTTGTCTTTTCCTGGGAATAGAGCTGCAACTTGCATCAATTATAATTATATGCAGCTAGCAGCCTCAAAGATACGTGGACCAGGCCAAGCCGCATGTACGCAGCTTTGCACGTACAAGTAAAAAAAAAAAAAAAGTCACATGTTTGTTTTTGCGTCTGTCATAAAATGATTTTTTAAAATGTATTTAACAACATAAATATATTTTTCATTTGCACTCAGTTTATGGTACTATTAGTAAATAAATATTAATATATTTTTTAAGCAGCTGAGATGCTGCCCCCCTCCGGAGTTAAGGCCCTACGCATCCTGCATACTCTGAGTATAGGGAGAGGCGGTACTGCAGACGCTGTTGATTCTGGAAGTCATTAATAATATAATACCACTAATACTGAAACAGTTAAGGCAGGGGTGTCAAACTCAATTCCTGGAGGGCCGAAGCCCTGCACAGTTTAGTTCCAACCCTGCTCCAACACACTTACCTGTAGGTTTCAAACAAGCCTGAAGGACTCAATTAGCAATTGTGCTCAGCCTGCTGGTTTATTCATTTGCACACATTTTTATCATTACATGATCTCTTATCACAAAATCGCATGACCTTTTTTAATGCGCATACTGGAATTTGTGTGATAAAAGTGTTTCTATCTAAGTGTTTCTAATAAAATGTTTATCCTACTCAGTTATGCGCATATGTTTTTTTATGCGCATTTTCAAAATGTATGAGCATCTTGGCGTTTCCATCAACCGGTTTTTACGAGCATATGCAAAAACATGTGCAGTGAAATGAAATCCATCATTCAGTCTGATGTGTATTGACTAATACCCGATTTTTCTTCTCTGAGTGCAAATCAATATTTAAATTCTATCTTCATGTATCGCAATCACCGCACTTCACTTCACATGCAATGTCTCACCAAACCTCACTACATTTGCCTTAACAAAAATTAAATAAAAATGATTATTATATTTATTATTTCTTTGAATCCTCTATGACTTATACAAGTTATAGTTATAATAAACAATTTGCTTGTAACAAACTAATAAAGCTTGTTTGCTTGCCTTGGTTTTTTTCCCTCCAAACCTAAATGAAACAAGAACTTTTATTTATTTATTTATAATTAATTTTGAGAATATTGTTTCTTTTCTACTATGGTAAACAAAGCCTAAAACAACTAAATAAATTTTTTTTGAGTGCACTAAGAATGAAGCACAATTGTCTGTGAATATTGTTAATGTTGTAACAGAGTGCATTGATTCGGTATGTTAAATTATTTTCTGATTTCTACATAGGTATGTGGCTTTTTCAAGTTTTTCATTTATATATGCTCATTTATAAGCACAAGAAATACACCTAGAATAAAAAGCTTTGTCTTAACCTTAAATATTTTGAACAGTCAGGGATATTATTGAGCCCACACATAATTGAGAACACACACAAGCACACAGAAAAGAAAAAAAAAAGAAAGAAAACTAATATGAGAATTAAAAAGATAATGAGTGAGAACCAAATAACAAAATAAAATACAAAATACAATACATAACTGTATATTTGTTCAGATGGTTTGTGATAGTGTCTCTTACTAGTTTTGTCTACTGGCTGACAAATACATACTTTGTTGCTATTGGTATCAGGGTTCTTTTTTAAAATATACCTTTTCTGTATTTGTAAAAGATAAAAAAAAATGTGTGATTATGTTTAAATTGGAAAAATATGTGGATCTTATGATGCTGTTTGAACAGGAATAGCTTCTCAGTTTCCATGTTTCCACAGATTTCAGAGAGTGCACAGTTTTTTCTCTTTCTCTCTCCCCGAATCACAGCTGTTTGTCTTCCTCTCTGCTCTGTTCACATGTTTGTTTCTTGATTTGTTCTTGTTAAATTTACTAATGTCTGCTGTGTTGTGTCAGTTTGTCGTCATTCCTCCTGATAATTCAGTCTTGTCTTGTCTTGTCCTGTCTAGCCCTCTTCTTCCCTGCCAGCCCAGTCAAGTTTGTTTATGTTAATGTTTTCCCCCTTAAGTGTAGTTTTTGTTGCTCTGGGTAGTTTTGACCCTCGGGGTACCTTTCTTGCTTATAATGTGTATGTCCGTCTCTACCTGATTGAGAAAGTTTCTCAATATCAAGTACACAAAGTTGGGACTTCAAATTTGATAGAGAAAATGAACTCAATACCAAGGATGCGGTAAATCTTCAAATAGAACAGTGTACTTTATAGCGTCATTCAAATCGCCCTGGCTACATTGTTTCACTCTTTTAACAAAATAAATGACCTTATCCAAAGGAAAAACATGATGTATAACTGTAGCACAGCACAGACTCTTTTAACTTTGATATTAACACCTAAAACATTACACATACCAAAATGTTAAGGCATTGTGTATTTATAAAAGCGTCATCTTCACAGCAAGCATATTTTTGACAAAACAGAGCCTAAACATAACTGCTTCTTTACATTTTCATTGAAAATATGAAACTACTTTGTGGTTTTGGCAATATGTGCTTAATGAGGCTATAAGCACACAATAAAGATTATCAGACTAAATGCATGGTTAAATATGAAATTCCCAGTCTCTTTTGCTGAATATTAGTTTTAGTAATCAATAATGGCCATTATAAAAAATATAACGTACAAAAAGTTTGTTCAGTATACAAAATAAAGTTGTTAAATTCAAATGTTAAATTATAACCTATATTTGTGCTCAGTCAAAATACCTTTCCTGAGAACAAGTAGTCTAATATATTCAAATGACTAAAGAGTCATTAGATATACACAAGATGATATCAATATCACATTTATCCAACCTAGGTTGACGAGGCTGCTGTGTTTGCTTTTTGAGATCTCAAATTTCTCTCACGAGTGCCATTAATTTCTGCTCCTCTCGCATATATCCACCAGAGGCTGTTGTTGACTGACTGACTGACTGATCAATTGACTGATTTCTCCACCCACCCCCTTCCTTACACCCAACCAATAGTGTTTTAAAAAGCACTGATTGACCACTGCCCACCTACTGTTAGGGTTCTGCCACTCTGGTCTTGTAAATTCTTGTTTTGGTGGCAGAGTCTGGACACTAGCTCAGTTTTGTCCTGTCCTTTTGTGCTCTGCTTGAGTTTTCTTGGGTCGAGCACTTGTTTTGCTATTGTATGTGTAACTCTGGGTTTGTGCGTGCTCCCGCTTGATGTGGGCACGCAGGGTTTGTGCGTGCTTGGGACGCACGCTCTTGTACTCGTGTTTGTGTTTTGTTTTGTCAGCATCAAGCTATTTCAAGTTGGTTTCGGTTTTAGTTGGTGCTGAGATGAAACATGCGTGTTGCATATGTGTGAGCGCACAGTAAGTCATGTGCTCTCCCTTCTATTGTCTAGTCCCACACTCCTTGTTAGCCCATTATTAAGTAATTATGTTCACCTGTTTTTGTTAATTTAATTCTGCTTATATTCTCCTCATGTCTGCTGTCCTGTGTCAGATCGTCATTCTTTGTAGTTCTTTCCAGTCTGTCTAGCCCTGTTCCCTACAAGCCTGACCAGTGAAGTTTGTTGGTGTGTTTTGTTAATGTTTTCCCCTCAGGGTAGTTTATTTTGCTTTATTTTGATTTTTTACTATTAATAAATACCTATTTTCTTTGCATTTGAGTCCTCGCTCTTTTTCCCCAACCACAAACCGTGACAGTACGAACTGGCCAACAGAGGTTCAGCAGAAATATGGGTATCTTCCTATTCCCATGTCCCAGTTCACGTCCCTCTGCATGCCACCAGAAGGAGCGTTTGGGCAAACTCCTTGGTTTTCGTTGAGGGGAATTTTCAGACCAGGGGTTTGCCTACCGATTTGTTTATGCTGCAGAGGGGCTTGAGTTTACCACGACAGCACTGAAGGAGGCTTTCGATGCTGGACTCAACAGCCCCCTTCAGACCTGGGAGATGGGGATGCTGGGTATTCTGTCATTCTAACTATTTGTACCACAGCCAGGGGAACAGTGGCCTGCCTCCTCTTGGTCCACCGCCCCTCCCGCTCACAGACTGCCAAATCCCCAGTACTCCGATGACCACCAGTGAAGACAGAGGAGGAAGAACGCTTGTCACCCATCTAGAGGTGACTGAACCCGCTGCAACCCATCCAGCTACCACCCTGGCTGCAGCATCTTCCCCTGAGGTGCCCATAAATGACACTGCAGCACTTCAAGATGTAGTGGAGGGTCCAACAGTGCCTGAAGAGGTGGTTAGCTTCCTGCCACCTAAACCAAGGAAGCTCAGAAAGAGAAAGGGCTCCTCCACCACAACGGCTCCATCCCCAGAGTCTTCTCTCCTTTTCCCCAACCACAAACCGTGACACCAACATAGCTAAACCCAACCGACAGTGTGTTGAAAAACAATCCAGATAAAGAAAAGCCCCATGATTTGTATGACGTTATTATATTTTACCACATTTTCACCCAGTTATTTACTTGTTTATTTATTTTTGGCTTTTGTTTTTGTCCTACCTGCTTTCTGGAATCATTCTTCTCCAGACTCGAACCCCGTCGTCTTGGTAAACTCCTCTTTGTGCATCAAGTCTGCTGACGTATGCTGTAAGCCACTGGACAAACTATGTATGAAAGCCGTCCATACAAAGATAAACGGTCAGCGCGAAAAAAAACATCATCATACCACCCTGTAGTGTTTGTTTCAAAGATAAAATGCAGCCATATCTACTTCTAGCTACATAATTTACGACCTCCAGAAATTTATATAGGGCCACGTTGTCAAAATTAGCCTATGTTATGTTTATGAACTATAAAGAGATATGAGATATATTGGCAGATCGACGATGGACTGGCCAGTGTGTGCTGCTCTTTGACAGGCAGGTGTGCGTAGGGCTGACTGCCTGAAGCTCAGATGTTCGAACACACTGAAGCAACTTTCAGCGCATCCCAGAGTGTTTGAGTGGTGACATGATGTATGTTTTGACATTGTGCATGGAGACCTTTTCAGAAATGCTTTATGTTTTTGCTCTAAAATGCCTTTTTTTATATATAAAATGCATCAGTGTAAACAGAGCCTAATTTGAGTTTAAAGTGAGGATCCCTTTTTGAAAGGATGTCAGGAACAGCATATGTCTATTGTTTGGCTTGCGTTGGGGGACGAGTTAGGTAAAGAGGGTCTGGCCATTTCATTAGTTTTGCTTTTGTGCACAGAGAGTACACTCACAAATAAATAAATAAAAAAATAAAAAAAAGAAAAAGATAAATAGCCACTGCTCAGTTGACTATACAGTTGCATAAACACCTTTACGGGTCATGTTTGCTGAAAATCACCCTTATTTTTCTCTCTAATTTTAGAGTGTTGCCTCTAGGTTATTGGACAATGCAAGATTGCTTCTCAAACAGTCCCAGTTCATTGCTGACATGTGCTGCAATTGAGTATCAGACTTCATTATGTTTGAGGACAGGCCACCAGGCAATCCTGTTCCCTCTCACTACTACCAACTTTGTTTAATTTTTGCACACTATCTTAACCTAATTAAGGTAAAATGTCAAATAAAAAACATTTAAATATTTTGGAAAACAACTGTTAAGGATCACCAGCAATCTAGCCTCTGCAGATCACTGAAGAACTACACATCTGCCACTCAACAGAACTACAATCCCATCACTCACACACCAGTTCTAAATCAACCCTTGATTTCATGCACACAGCTGCAGATCATTCTTATTCAGCACCACAGGCACACTCATTCTTAACTCAGTATTGTTCAGTGTTCCAGGTTTTCTGGTCTGGCTTTTGATTCTTGGACTGTTTTGGGGTTTTGATAGATCTGCTTGCCCCAACCTTTTCCTGTCTCTTGGATTACTCTTTTTTTCACACTGGCTCTACAGCAAGTGGCACTCACTGTCAGGTTCTGTTTTTTAAAAAATAAAAAATGTTTTGGTGAATGCAAACATTACTCATGACTTCATGCCATTTTGTCTTTATTATAATAATTCAACATATTTTGTTTAACCTCACAAATAAACACAAAATGATGAAAAGAGCAGCAAAAGAATATCCACTTTTGGGGGGGAAAGTACCACCTCTTTCAACAGGCTGTCTATGAGGGGACAGAAATAAATGAAAACACATAAACATGTTGTTTGCAAGGAATTCTAATATAAATATATTTCATTCATTCATTTTTCTTCGGCTTATTTCCACAGCACAATGAACTGCTGATGCTCTTCTAGCCCCAACAAAGTACTGTAAATCACGTATACACTCTCTTATTCACACATACACAAACAGACATTCACCTATACCGCATGTCTTTGGACTGTGGGCGAAACCGAAGTACCCACGCGAACACCAGGAGAACATGCTAACTTCACAAAGAAATGCCAACTGACCCAGCTGGGACTTGAACCAACGACCTTCTTGTTCCTTCAATCTAAATTTACAGGAATATTTGATTTACTTTAAAATATTCTGTATGACAAAAATTGAAGGAATTTGCTTCAGCATTATAATAAAAATCTTGTATTCATATCATCTGATTGACTGTTTTATTATTTTTTTCAATAGGATTTTAAATACAAAGGATTTACATGAAACAAAGAAACAGTATTTGAGGCTCCCAGGATGTCATTACAGTTATGGTATGCCTAGGTATATCCATATTTCCATTCCAATTTAGGACTGAAGTGTATTTTAAAATGTCATCTTAATAGAACAGAGTCAGGAATTATTCTTTTAATAACCATTCTAGAGATATAGCTCTGCAAATGTTTGTTGGAACAATAGAATCAGGAAAGACCACTGAACTGTTTGTAAGCCCAAAATTGTAATAATAATTAATAATTAACATTTTAGAGATTCGGCAAGGGGTATGCAAACTTTTTAGCATACTTGTGACACAATAAAAATTACCATTTAGGGTTGTCCTTATTTTTCCATTGACACCTCCTTCTCTAAAAAAAAGAATAACACACTGCTGAGCTATACAATAGGTGTACTTTTTAAAAGTTGGATGGTAAAGAATTGGGAATGCTGTGTGAGATGTGGATAACTTTAAACATCTGTCTTTATATGTATTTTAATCATATCTCTGGTGTTTTTACCTCTGAGTCTTGTCAGCTCCAGGGATGCTTCAAGTTGAATGGGATGTACCAGGATGGTGAATTTATTATTGGAGGCCTCTTTGAGGTCCAGAACCTCAAAGTTTTCCCAGAGCTTAGCTTCACAAATGAGCCTGAACTGCCCCAGTGTGAGGAGTAAGTGTTGTTTGGATGGGATTGTGAACTGCTATTCTAAACAAAGTTTGAAAAGTAAAATGTAAAAATAAATCAATAAAAATAAATGAGAACTAGTGAGTTTGCTAATGTAACAATTTTGTTGTATATATTGCTCTTGGTGACCTTAATTTTTAAAGCTGTAATTTAATGTTATATACATTTTGCAACAATTTCAAATATACAGTAAACTCATTTCAAATGTAAAGTAGGTTGCCTAGATTTCTATTTAGTCATGAGATCTGTTTTGCCTTTTCCAGATTCTATATGGCAAGTTTTCAGCAAGCACTGACTATGGTTTTTGCTATAAATGAGATTAATAGTAATAGCAAATTGTTGCCTAACATCACACTTGGTTACCAGATTTATGACAACTGTTTAAGGCTTGGAGTGGCATTCCGGGCTGCTATGTCCCTGGTTAGTGGGACAGAGGAATCCTCAAACCTCAGCTGCACTGGCCCTCCGCCGGTGATTGGCATTGTAGGGGATCCTGGTTCAACTCAATCTATAACAATTTCTAGTGTCCTGGGGCTATATCGAGTTCCTATGGTAAGAAATTTTGTTCTAAAATTTGATATTTTAATTTTCAAAAAAGCATTTTAAATACTAATTTTTTTAAACAAGAAATAACATTTTTCTTTAATCCTTGCTTATTACTACTTTCAAACATCATTATTATCATAATGTAAAACTTACCTGAGAAGCCTCTTTTTTACTAATTTTATTAGGTTAGCTACTATGCGACCTGCTCATGTTTGAGTGACAGGAAAAAGTACCCCTCTTTCTTCAGAACAATCCCCAGTGATGCCTTCCAGGTGCGGGCTATGGTTCAGATCTTAAGACATTTTGGATGGACCTGGGTTGGTCTCCTCTACAGTAATGATGACTATGGCATCTACGCTGCTCAGTCCTTCCAGCAAGAAATGCAGATTTTGGGAGGTTGTGTGGCTTTTTCTGAAATGTTGCCTTATGATAACAACGGTAGAGACATTCAACGAATAGCAGGAGTTATTCAAAAGTCTACAGCCAAAGTAGTTGTAGCATTCTCAACTGATCTGGCATCCTTGATGGATGAGTTGTTACTGCAAAATGTGACAGGCAAGCAGTGGATTGCAAGTGAGGCTTGGACTACAACACCTGTCCTGCAAACTCCACAATATTTACCGCTACTGGGGGGCACACTGGGAATTGCCATCCGGCGTGGACAGATTCAGGGACTTTATGAATTTCTAAAAAATCTTCGACCTGACAAAAATCCAAAAAACAGCACCATTAGAATCTTTTGGGAGACCATGTTTGGGTGCAAGTTTGAGGTTGGAGGTAAAAAAGTAGATGAACAGCAAGAAAGGGGGAGAAACAAATGTTCAGGCCAAGAGGATCTTAACAACTCAGAAACAGCATACACGGATGTGTCAGAGCTGAGAGCCTCTTATAATGTTTATAAAGCTGTTTATGCCTTGGCACATGCACTTCATGACCTAGTAAAGTGTGAGGAAGGAAAAGGGCCATTCACTGGGAACAGCTGTGCTGACATATCCAATCTAAAACCATGGCAGGTAAGTCTTCTAAATAGCACATATTGTATGTACAATTTCTAATACTGTGCCACAGATTTTATATAACGTGTGTTCTATATACAAACTGAACAGCTGGTTCACTACATACAGAATGTAAAATTCACCACAGGCTTTGGGGATCATGTGTCATTTGATGAGAATGGAGATGCTCTGGCCATCTATGATGTAATGAATTGGCATCCAAGGTCTGATGGGTCGATCATTGTCCATGTGGTCGGTGTTTATGAAGAGGCAATATTAGGGAAAGTCTTAACACTGGATGAGGATGCATTATTCTGGAACTTTGAAACAAAAAAGGCAATTAGCATATAATATTCAAAATAAAATGAATAATGCTGTGCAAAAATAAATTGTGTAAAAATAAACGTTTGTTTTGACATACTGTATAGTATATATGAATATATTAATACACATATGCATGCTATATTTGAGAAAATGTAAATTATACAAATTATTTAGAAATTTAAATAACTATTTATAGTTATTTAGTAAAACTAGTATTTAGTTTTTTTTTATAGTTTTGTGTGTGTGTGTGTGTGTGTGTATACACATATATTGTTAAAACAAGCTTTTATTTTGATGTGATTAATCATGATAAATCTTTCCCCAGCACTAAAAGTTATAGACTAATAATATTAATATTACTAATAATAATAATATATGAAAATATAACAAGACATTTAAATATTGATTATATTCAGCCCCCAGACTCTGTGTGTAGTGAGAGCTGCCCCCCAGGAACCAGGCGAGCCAGGAAGAAGGGTCTCCCTGTCTGCTGTTTTGACTGCCTGCCATGTGGGGATGGCGAGATTTCTAATACTACAGGTAAGATAATTGAGAATATTTCAATGAGTATTTTACCTTTTGGATCATTTATATGTGTATTATTGGTTAATAACAGTACAGTTGTATTTTTTTTCTTTCAGATTCTCCTGAATGTTTCATATGCCCAGAAGATTTTTGGTCAAGTCCAGAAAATGACCGTTGTGTTCCCAAAGAAATGGAATTTCTTTCCTATGATGATCCGCTTGGAATATCGCTGACCACTGCCTCTCTTTTAGGAACCTGCTTCTGTGTTCTTGTGTTGGTTATCTTTGCTTATCACCATAACACTCCAGTAGTACGAGCCAACAACTCAGAGCTCAGCTTCCTTCTACTGGTGTCACTCAAATTTTGCTTTCTGTGTGTGCTGCTGTTCATTGGCCGGCCACGGTTGTGGACGTGCCAGTTAAGACATGCTGTGTTTGGCATAAGCTTTGTCCTGTGCATCTCAAGCATTCTAGTTAAGACTATGGTAGTAATAGCTGTATTCAAGACCTCGCGGCCAGAGGGAAAAACTTCCATAAAGTGGTTTGGTTCAGCACAGCAAAGAGGGACAGTTATAGCCCTAACTTCTGCACAGGTAGCAATATGTACTGTCTGGTTGTCCTCTGCATCTCCAACACCTCATAAAAACAACCAGTACATTCATTCTAAAATAGTATATGAATGTGCCATTGGCTCAGTTGCTGGTTTTTCTTTGCTCCTTGGATACATTGGACTGTTGGCAGCAGTAAGCTTCTTGTTAGCCTTCATGGCAAGGAAACTTCCAGATAATTTCAATGAAGCAAAGTTTATCACATTTAGCATGCTGATCTTCTGTGCTGTATGGATTGCATTTGTTCCAGCATATGCGAGTTCACCAGGAAAATATGCAGTGGCTGTGGAGATATTTGCTATTTTAGCTTCCAGTTTTGGATTACTGGCTGCCATATTTGCCCCAAAGTGCTACATCATTATATTACACCCAGAAAGAAACACTAAAAAAGCCATCATGGGACGATCGACTCAAAATAAATAATTTTACATGCTGACCTTCTTAAATAAATTGCTGCTCTAAGATCCTGTACTAAGTCTCACTCTCTTAATTTATTTATTATTTAAGTAAAACTTGTATAATAAAAATCAAATTAAACAATTAACCCTCTTCAATTTATCTGTACACATCCTATATACAGGTGACATCAATTTTTGCCTTCCTATGACATTTTTATTCTTTTTCAAATATTTACAGCATTATGTTTAACAGACGAAAGAAATTCTCACAGTATTTTATATAATAATTTTCTTCTGCTGACAGTCTTATTTCTTTAAGTTTGGCTGGAATAAAAGCAGTGTTTACATTGTTAATGGTCAAAAATATTAGTCCTTTTTTCTCTCTCTATATATTCTACAAAAAAAAAAAAACACTTCTACACAACTTGCCTAATTAACCTAACTTGCCTAATTAAAGTAATAACATAGTTATGTTTTTAAGCGTACATATATATAGTTATGTTGCACTTTAAGCTATATAAGTTAGAACTATGTATTTACAGTTGAATTCAGAATTATTAGCCTTCTTGACTTATTACCCCCCTGTATATTTTCCCTCCAATTTCTGTTTACTGCAAAGAAGATTTTTTTCAACACATTTCTAAGCACACTAGTTTTAATAACTAATTTCTAAAAACTGATGTTTTGTGCCTTTGCCATAACAGTACATAATGTTTTACTAGGTATTTTCCAAGATATTAGTATCCAGCTTAAAGTGCAATTTATAGGCTTAACTAAACGAATTAGGGTAATAAGGGAAACTATTGTATAATGATGGTTTGTTCTGTAGACAATAGCAAAATAATGCTTAAGGGGCTAACAATTTAACCTTGAGATGTTTCTTTAAAAAATTAAAACTGCTGTTTTTCTAGAAGAAATAAAACAATATAACTTTTTGCTGAAAATATAGAAAATGATGTAAAAAAATTTCTTGCTCTGTTAAACATAATTTCGATGTTTCATGGAGAAGAGGATTCATGTGCAGTTTAGTACAAATAATAGTCAAGCAGGCAACAGTCAAACAGGTACGAATTGGAGCATGAGACAATCCAAAGAGTGAAGTCAAAAACAGGTGAATGGTCAGGACAGGAAACAAGACAACATAAATGTAAAAAACAAGAGGATCAAAAACACAGCATGACAAACAGGGAAAAAAACTTTTTTTTTTTTTTGTGGGAAAAACAACACTCAGCAAAGTGTGTGTGTAGGAGAGATGAACATATAGTCCAGGTAATTGATGAGGAGTTTCAGCTGTGTGTGTGTGTGTGTGTGTGTGTGTGTGTGTGTGTGTGTGTGTGTCCAGATGATTGTCAGCTGTGGCAGGAGTGATGAGTGCAATGACTTTTGGGAGTTTTAGTTTAGTCTGGAAGTACAAGGAAGTGATCTCCAGCAGAGGCAACACTGGTGACAATCAAAACAGAAACATTTGAAAAATAAAAAAAACAAATCACAGGAGAAAAAATATTATTGACATATATATATATATATATATTTAGGGATGTAACGGTATCGTAAATACTGTCATACCGCAATAGCAATTTTTTTAAATATTACCGAAAATTTGCTCAGGTGAATGAAGCGAACGGGAGGTAGCGGAAACTACAATTCCCATCAGCCCAGGCGTGGCCATCATCCTTTGCGGTCTGTTGACGCTACAGATCCAGTAATGCGGAAATGGAGTGTGCTGCTAGTAGCGGGGATGAAAAAGAGCTGAAAATGATGAAACTAAAGCGGGTTTTAAATCGGATGTGTGGAAGCATTTCGGTTTCTCTCTAAAAAGATACAAGAAAGGAGAAAAAGTGACAAAGAAATACTGGTATGCAGGCACTGCCAGACTGTGGTGAAATACAAGTCGGGGAATACGACTAATAACAGTCATGGGGACTGCAGAATACAGCACACTGTTCAGATTGATGCAGACATTGACTTGTACCGCAAAGAGACTTCTATCTCACTCATGGCTTGTCCTCTCAAGTGGGGGAAAGACAATGCACAACGTTACCCACTGCTGTCAACCTGGGCCATGTCATATCTCTGTCCCAGAAACCTCAGTCCCAAATGAGAGGTTTTTTTTTTTTCTGTTGCAGGGGACATTGTAAATGCCTAGAGATACCAGCTTTTACCAGATTATAGTTATATGATAATTTTCCTTAAAACCCATCTCTATCTAAGTGAGTGAGTGATTAAATGTTGAATGTGATGGGTTTTCAACAATACTAAATTTAAACTTTAATTTTTACATGGTTTAATAATTTTTGTTATTAAAATTGAACAATTTAAGTTCCTATTTTAAAACTTACAGATAGATGGCTATTTTGTATGTCATTGACACGTTTGGCACTTTTTTGGAGTATTTTCATTACTTTTGTTTTTCCTGTAAATGATTCAATAAATACCGTACGGTGCCATTCATACAGAGGTATTACCATACTGTGAAATTCTGATACCGTTACATCCCTAATATATATACACACATTTACACACACACAATTGAGTAATGGACTTTTATTTTGAATTGTTTATTTTGAAGTGATGAGGTGAGGTGATTGTGTCTATTCTATTTTCTGTTCTGTTGACGTTTTTCTATATATACACATTTACATATCATACACACCACAAGGGGGAGATAGAGGGCACATGGACACTGCTCAGTGGTACTTCTGAAGAAGCCAGAAAAGCACATGCCAAATCTACAGCTGCGTCCCAAATCGCATACTTATGCACTATTTTACGCCATTTTGTAGTATAAATAGTGTAAGTAGTGTGTTCACATTGAAAACTCTCAAAATAATAAGTGCACTTTAATTACCCGGATGATGCACTCATTCAGCCGCTAAAATGAAGTGTGAAAGGATGGACACTTCACGCACTCAACGACCGCAGGTTTGCTTACGTAGCGGAAGGGGCGGAGCGATCGGACGCACATGTTGAATAACTTTATTTATGTTGGATGGTGAAAGCAAAATTCTCCTACGAGAGTAATTATAGCGCCTCCCGATGGTGAATGCGGCAATACTCACGGCAGGTATTACTTGATAATTCAGTCGTTTATTTCACTGATTTGGCAACAGTCAAACGTCATCAGGGAAACGGTCTGAATTTCCGCTTACTAAAAAAAAACATTAGTGTGCCATTTGGGACGCCACTACATACATATACTATCCTGTTGAGTGTGTAAGTGCATAAGTACATAGTGCATGAGTGCATAGTGTATAGTGTGCCATTTGGGACGCAGCTTACCTTTTTTCGTGTGCCAAGGACCATAGTTTGTGTGGATTTTTTCTCTTTTTAAAAACATTAGTCTTGCAGAATTGCAGTAAAGACTATACATGGTGGACATTTGATGTACAGCAACTATACATGTTGAGAGCGATCCTTTTTGCAAGTACACTAATCCATCTTTTGGACCCGTTGATTTAAAGACGATCGTTAACAAGTTAAACTTTGCGTGCCCGGTACCGGGAACAAAATGACGTCATCGGGAGAATAACTATAGATTTAAGAGGTCTGTCTGCATCAATAACACCATATCACCTACTGAGTGAAAGCTTAGAATGTCTATTTTCATCTGATACACAACACTTTGATATTTGTTATACTGTAACAAAGTTATTTAAACTTAATTTACACTCGATGTATAATATCTCAACCCCACCGATTATGTACATTGTTCAGTATTCATATTTTTCACATCGCTAATATTAGACACACAATGGCAAGTAATACATCAAATTAAAGTTTAATTAAAATTACTATTTGGGCCGGGCTGATCATCGTCTTATGATCTGATCGGCCCATAAAAGGCTTAGCAGCCTATCGTTTTTTTCTGCCTTAATAATTGACGCTGCTGTGATCTGTGACTCTCTGAAAGTAGATGCTTTTTTTCCCGGACATACAGACCGGGCCGGCCCATGTGACACTCTGCAGCCCATTGGCTCTTTTCGGTATTGACATTGTGCTGGCCCAATCACAAACTCCTATTTTGGACTCCGTCTGAGCGTGCGTCGTCTGTGTATATTTGTCAAAATAGTCGAGAGTCAGAGAGAAGAAACGCAAGGGAGGCGCAGAGAAATCGCGGGAAATACACCGGCGTTTCATTTTGAGGTTCTGAGAAGTTCGCAGTTCTTTCTAGTACACGGCTAAAAGCTCAAATCACGTGACCACACACATGCACACTTTCTGGTAGTTCAGCAGGTGAGCATAAACCCCAGGTGAGAGAATAGTGCATGTCAGACAGTTCATCTGCTGGATGATCTCATCTCACTATAGTTGTTAAACGTGATATTGAATTCATCTTGTTGTCTCTATCTAACAATTCTTATGTCTTTTGAATCACTTGTTCTCAGTTAACTGTTTTGGCTGAGTGCAAAGATAAGCTATATTAATTTATGTAACCACATACACTGATTCTGCACATTGACTGATTGCTTACCTTTATTGTTTAAATTTAATGTACGTTATAATGTTATAATGGCCATTATTGGTTATTAAAACTGATATTCTGCAAAAGAGACAGGGTAAAGTTAATTCTTTTCAATGGAAATGAAAGGAGACAGTTATATTTAAGCCCTGTTTTGTTATAAATATGCAGAGTGAAGATGATGCTCATAGAAATATGCAGCTACACGAGGCTGTTTGGTGTCTGTTAATCATAATATCAAAATGAAACAAATTTGACTTATATTATGTTTTCATTGTTTAGATAGTGAAACAGCAAGCAGGATGAGGTAAAAGAGGTTAAAATGTAACACTGTTGCCTTTGAAGATTTACCCATGCATTAGCAGGCAGTTTTTGTTATGTTTATTATTGAATATAGGCTAAGTGAATAGTGTATTGAATAAGCTAAATTGGCTGTAGTGTATGAGTGTGTGTGAATGCGTGTGTATGGGTGATTTCCAATATTGGGTTGTGGCTGGAAAGGCATCTGCTGCATAAAACATGCTGGAATAGTTGGCAGTTCATTCCACTGCGACAACCCCTGATAAGGAAAGGAACTTATGTGAAGAAAAATAAATGAATGAATAGTGTATTTTTTAGAACTCAACAAATATCTTTTTGGACAGTATACAGAAATTAAATTGAGATTAAAGTTTGTATTTATTTATT